GCCTGCAGGCACACACTGATTAAGGCAAATATTAGCATAGCAGCAACGGGAACTGAAACCAACATCAAATTCTTTCATCAGTAGTATCCTAACAAACTTTTCCACACAGTGGCTGCTGACACCTAGATGGATTAATTTCAGGTCCGCTGAATTCAAAAGCTTTGGCCATGTGGAAAACTGCTGGCTGTTGCTAGAGAACTGACCGGCTCTGTGTCACTGTTTGTTGTTTGTCGGCGAGGAGGAGTTGGGTTGAAGGGGAACGGAGGTGCAGCTGCTGCGAAAGGGCTCTTTAAAAGTCAGCGAAGTACCACCGGGAAACGAATAATCCTTTTCATCTTGCCTCCTTTTCTCATTTGGCACACATTTTGTCACTCCTGTTTTTTTTGTTTTTTTTCTCTCTCCATCTGCCCTCTTCCTCCTCCTTTCACTCATTTTGCTCACTCCTTCATTCTTCCTCTCTGTGGAAAATTTAATGGTTTCCTGGGCTCAGAGCGAGACATTCTTTCACTGTGAACAATAATAACAAGAGTAAGAGCCACTTCATGTAACTCTCTCACTCCCTCACCAAGTGGGTAAAACCGGGTATTCTGTGTGTGTGTGTGTGTGTGTGTGTGTGTGTGTGTGCGTGTGTGTATGTGTGTGTATGTGTGTGTATGTGTGTGTACGTGCATGCGTGCATGACACACTTGAAAATTACTTCATGTGTTTGGACCAGGTACTGCAGACTGGTAAAGCCAAGTGGGTGACCGCCTCGTTTGTTATCATCAAAGTCTGCTTATTCACTACTTAAAAGTAACTGACACAGACAAGTGCTCACACATACACACATCTCTGGTGAAGAAATGGAAAATCACTAGAACGTGGCACGGATCTATTACTCTTTGTTCTGTGCAAAATAAAAAAGTGGACATTTAGAAAATGACAGCTAATGAAACTCTAAGTGCGTTAACTGCTGAAGCTGGATGGTGGGGTTACCGGAGGACAAGGGAATAAAATATGGTGTGTAAAACGTGTGAGTTCAAATGTAGGTTAAGGCGGTTGTTTATGGTTTAGCATAAACATCCTAATGCAGATCGTGCCAAGAGCTGAACTCAATCTCAGGTGCTTTAAGAAAATATAAAAGAATATAAACTGCAGCTGCATCCAGATATAGGCCTATTGAAACATGTCTTGATGGTGGCAGAATTTTTACTTAGCATGCAAGTTCTTTCGTCAGGGCGGCCCCCGTCACCGGGCAGATGTACACTTTCAGTGTTTGTTTATATTTGACCATAATCTATCCAAACTAGCTACAAATATGCTGCGTGACATTTCAGGCAAATATCAACAAGCCAGAGAATTTAGCTCTCCACAAACCACAAAGTCTCAGTTACTCTGTCTGAAGTCATGAGAGCGTTTAATTCAGATGACTTTAAGCTACACATGAGAGGCAATGAGAAAAAAAAAAGAAGAATGGCAGGAGGGCCAAGACCTTTGGTCTCATTTAGCCTCCAACAGCTTCACCTTCTGCTCTCTACAGCTCAACATCAGAGGGCCAGGCAGGGCCAGGGAGGGCCAGAGGACCAGGGACATGAGCCAGGGGCAGGATGTCACGTCTAACCCTGAACCCACCAGCCAAACCAGCAAGGCTCTGTGGGACGCTCCGTCCCAGCTTTGAGAACAAAGGAGAGGGTCTGACACTGGCCAGGCAGCGCCCTGTTCCTGGCTGGACTCCAAGTCTTCTAGGACCCTTTAAGGCTGCTCTGCAGGACCATGTCCAGGCTTTGGCACTGCTCAGAAGTTTTCAACCCATCGCACATGGAGCTGTTCCCCTGGGCATGCAGAGATGTGACCTGGCAGAAAGGACTTTCTTCCCAACACAGAAGACAAGAATACACTGAGATGGAAACACAGATAAGAGTCAGTCTCTTAGAATGTAGCGTCACACAGACCAATCTTAACACAAAGGAGCAGCTCAGGTGGAGGCTTAAAAGTGTTACCTTACAATTACTTTTACAAACTCTCCAGTACGTCTATGAACAATGTATGGAGGCACCATAATACCACTTTCACAATGCTGCTGGTATCAGTTACATAAACAATGCAGCTCTATAGCTCCTCAGGGAATGAGAGTACTGTATGAACAATTGTGAAATTCCAATATTTTAGTATTCCTCTAAGTTGTGTTGTGTTAACGAAGGCGTTTTAAGCTTCAACTAAATCGACAGTGATTAGAATCACAGTTCTGAAGTCGAAAGTTTACAGCACAAATGATTTCTCTACAACTTTTCCGTCCAAATTAAAATGGTGAAACAATAAAAAATAAATGATGTTTTTCCCTCTGTTAGTCAATTAGAGAGCTAGCTCCTAAATGATTGTGCTGAAGTATGTCTTTGTTTGCAAGTTGACAATAATACATTCTTTTTGATATTTTATCCATGTTATTTAATTATTTTCCTATTTATTCAAATTTCCAAATATTTCCAAAGTGCTTTTCACTCCCACGTTTTGCGTGTGAAAAGCCCCACCTCATGCACAGAGGGCCCAAATGGAGGGGTTTTTTTTTTTGTTTTCTTTTGTTTTGTTTTTAAATGTATTATCCATATTAGTGTGGACATGGTCTCAGTAAAAGTGATGGGTACAGAGAGTTCCCAAAGAAATGGCAAGTGGAAAGGAGGGGTCGGTGGATAAAATGGAGAGAGGGAGTGGTGTTGAAGGAGTCTGAGTGGTGTCCAGCAGGGTTCAAGTGCTGGTGTTTTGGTCCTTAAAGAGGCAAGCAGCAGGACTGAGCTCCAGAAACCAGTAAACCTCCAACACAATGACAGTGGAGTTTTGGGGCTCCCTATCTTTGAGACTCGAACAATTCCACAGTATGTCTGTGCATTAATGAACTACTCAGGCTCATATGCAAATCAGACAATGGAGCGAGACACTGTGCATGTGCTGAGAGCGTGTTTGAGCGCGGGTGTGTTTCTGTGGGAGTGTGAGAGCCCAAAGGTGGGAACTGGGCAACCTTCTCACCCTTGTTCTGTGTTCCTCCCCAAGGGTAAAATAGGAAGAAGTGGGGAGGCTGCGAACAAGATGCTGCAATGGCAAACACACAAAAACAGATATGGGGGGTTGGGGAGTAAATGCCAGTGCAGGGGGGGGTTAGGTGCTGTGGTAACAGCGTTCTCAGACAGAACAGCGTGATCAAGATTCAACACACAGACACATAAACAGAGCAAACACACTCACATGCATTCCATACACAGACTCCCAAACTGAGAAAATGGGCAAAGCACAATGCAAACTCTAAAGCAAGATGTAAATGGAGAGAAAGGTGTGGCACTTTGCCATAATCCCCAAAAAGACATCACTCTCCCATGGGCAAGAACAAGCTCTGGGAACATCTGAATGAAATGACTGAGAAATAGAGGAATTAGTAGATGAATGAGAGAAAGAACCTTGGCCAAACTAATGGACTTTCTTTCACCGTCCTCCTGAAGCTATAGATCTTTAAGTGGCGTTTGGTGTGAATGTTTGTGTGAGTCGCGGCTCCTGTGTGCGCATGTATATTATGCATTTACTAAAAAAGTTTCCACAGTACATCCACTGTGCTTGTGTAAAAAAAATATGCATACATCTGTGCATGTGTGCCACACACTTCTTGCCTCCGAGTTGATGTTGCGAGCATGACCTCTCGCTCAACCTTTAATGTCTTCAGCAGCCTTATCCTCTCTTCCTTGCCTTTGCCTGTAACTTCCCTCCATCCCCTTTTTTTTCTCTCACGCTCCCTCTGTCGGGATTCACTCCATCGAATCTACTTAAATCTCTCCTTGTTTTTAACCCTCTTAACTTTACTGCGTATGAATCAGCTGTTTAGGCGTAATAACTATTCCATGTACATGCGAGTATATAATACATATGCGTGTTTACGTTGGAGACATAAAAGCTCTCTGACGAACAATATATCTTTAAGGTAAAGCATCTATCATTAACCAACTGTGCTCCTTAATATGCTAATATACTAAGCTGGATACACTTATGGACGGCAACATTCAAGACTGAAATACATGAAAAATTAAGCAGGTGATGTGGAAAACAAAATGAAAAGAACAGAGGTAGGGTCCTGTAAAGGCCTTTGAACCTATGATAACAAAAGTAGAAGAGGAAAAAAGGGGGAAGGACGGTCTTCCTCTTCCTTTATAAACAGGCAGTTGGGACCTTTAATCCCTGACAGAAACCTATATGATGCAAAAGTAATCAGAGGAATGCTACTCTGGTCCAGGAGGACCAGTTCAGGGAGGAGGGGGATAGACTGAGAGAGAGAGAGAGAGAGAGAGAGAGAGAGAGAGAGAGAGATACATAAATAGCGCGGAAGAGCGATCAACACATTTCTTGACACATGACCCTGCAGCATCATCCTGATGTGCCCATAGAACAGCTGAACTTTATCGTCTTTACTCCGACACATGACAATGCAGGGGAGAACAGATCATGGCTCACGTACAGAGAGATGTTGTGGAACGTGAGGCTCAGTGTGAATCATTAAAACACCAAACAGACAGAGCAGAAACATTTGTCTCACGCGAAATGGGCTTGCACATCAAAATGTTGGTCATATATCATCATGGCATTTTGGGGAGCGGGGAACATTTCAGTGAAATATTATAAACAAAGCATGGAATAACATTGATGAGCTCAGTGATGTACATCCATTAAAACGGGTTGTCATTCTAACCCAAATTAAACATTTCAGGACAGAGAAGTGGAACAGAAATTTAGTATGCGTTGCCATTATCTTATTTGATTCATTTTGTGAAACTCAAACTAGGATCGTCTATTGTTGCGACAGTCCTTTGTTACCAAAGGTCTAAAATATTAAAATATCAAACATGCAGGTACACTGTATAATTCAATGCAATCTTTTTAGAATTTGGTTGTTGTGACAGAATAAAGATCAGCTGAGCTATTAAAACTGAAGATGCTGTTTATACAAAGGTGAGAAACATGAGAAATGTATCGCAGACGATGCATACCTTGTACCGCATCTTGGGGCAGGAGTGAATGTAAAAGCCCAGGTAGTAGTAGGACAGCTTGGGGGACTGTTTCTGCAGATGCCTGGTGAAAGCGATCTCCCTGTGGTGGGTGGGAAACACATGAACACACCTTTTCAGAGAGGTACCGCAAAGACAGGCACTGCTTTCAGAAACAGCACACATACTTGTAGCTTGATGTTTATTTCTTAAGATGACGGCTCACACCAGCAGCACTTGCTGCTTTGCAGTCAATCCCCGGTGCATGGGACAAGCACTGCAGTAAATTTCAGATGGTACAGAATTTTTGTTTGTCTACATTGTATTTACCATCAATTTTGGCATCAATTAAATAAACTACATAATTTCTTTTTAAACTGCAATTAAAGTTCAGGACATTTAAAATCTGAAGTAAATGTAAAAATATATACACATGCAGTTAAGACTGTGTAAGCCAATAATGACAGATCAGAACTGACTAGACATTTGCATCATTTAGAATATATTACTTAATATTAGAATATTTAAGTGTAAATGAGGGCAATGAGAAATAAAATAGGGACAAGCAGCTCCGACTAGAGCAGTGCCCAAGCTGAGGAAGTAAACACCCACACTCAAAAAGGCAGCTTTTCTTGGTCTCATTTCATTACACAAAAACAACTGCCTTCTCTCTATCGGCATTGAGCCCTTGAGCAGAAAAGGAGATGGTGAAAAAAAGAGGGAGAGAGCGTGTAAAATAAAGATTTAGAACTTGGAAGATTTATACAGCTTCTTCAAATACAGTAAATGTCTTGCTCGCTTTATTTTTCCCCAATAGTTTCTCCCTTAATTGCATCCTTTTACTAAAAGCCTATTTTCCCCCTTTTCCCTCCACCATTTCCTTCACTATTCCATAACTAAATTCCAGCTCCTCTTTCTTCTCCCTTTTTGTTTCACTCTTCCTTCCACCCCTCTGTGTTTCACCCGCTTAAATGAAGGGGGAGAATTCTCTTTCTTACAATACTTAAGAGAGAGAGAAAGAGGCCTTAAAATAAAATAGATGCACTGAAAAATAAGACATGGGACAAAGCAGGCCAGGCCAGGGAGGGGGAGAGAGAGGGAGAGAGAGAGCAGGAGGAGAATATAAAAGAGGGGGGGGTCAAGAAAGAGAAAGGGAGGGAGAAGAGAGGCAGCTAGAGCGAGGTGCTAGAAGGTCACCCGCTTGCTGCCAGGTTCCTGGGTTCCCATCCCCTCTCCACAAAAGGGCCCGGCAGGCCTGAATTGGGGGAGGGGGGTCAAGAGAGGCGAGGGGCCCATTCACAAAAAGCCCTGTGCCCCCCCCCCCCCCCCCTTCACTTGAGGCCTTCACACCCCCACCTCCACCCCCATGGCAGCAGCTTGAGTCCGCCATTATCCCCTCTTCAGCCATCTGACACTCCAGCACAAGCCAATTATCAAGCCCTCTGCTCCTGCACAGCTTCGCTCATACTGATGTGCATACACATACACACCCAGATACAAAGGGCCCATAATAGTGCACACCACGAGGTACTTACTGCAGCCTCGCATGCATGCGGAAACATTTCATTACCAAACACTACAAGAATAGCGTTGATTAGCCAGATATAAAATACAGAGTGAGCTACTAGTGGTGGGAAGATACAGAAGCTTATTTAACTAAGGAAAATAGACTGAACTCACACAGTATATCTATGTACTCTATATAAAACAGCCAGTCTGCAGGATTAAGATGGGGCCAATCCAGGCCTTTCTGATGGATAAGCAATCGCTATGTCGAGCCCGATCCATTTCCAATCCCTCGTTTGTTTACTCTGGCTAGGCAGCTGTCAAAAATGCTCCATGGGGATCCCTTAAAAACTGGAAGTGTACAAAGTTGGGAGCACGTTAAAGCCAAATGAACTGAATAGAACACAAAAAAAACAAAACAGCAGCCTGCAGTTCCAATCAATGATACAAGAGGATGCGGCAGCGAGAAAGCCATGTGCACAGAGCCTCTTTGGGTTTAAAAAATGTTGCTTTGCATCTGCTAAATTTTGCAGGTGCAAGGTACCTTTAAAGACTTGAACTGTACACTTACAACTCTACAACTTTAACTGCTTTCTTTCCTCTAAAATTTATACACAACAATATGAGATGCTATATAAAATATAATAGAAAATGACTAACAGAAAATCCAAATTCAAAATCTCATTTCAATATAAGCTCACTGCAGGCTCTAAGTGCATTCTGCCACTTCTTGTGAATAAAAAAAAATATACATGTACATCAAAAAACATTGGACTGGATGCCACATCAGCAAATGCTGAGTATTTAAGGACTTGGATCAGGATGAGGGCCAGCACAATATAATCAGGAGATCCCCATAAGAAAGTGATCCAGGTTGGACACCAGCTGCGTTTCCTACACAGTGCTGCAGGCACCTCATTATATGCCTCTTTTCTTCTCCTCCTCCTTCTTCACTTCTCTCCTCGGGGCCTGAGGCAGAAGGAGCTACACTCCTGCAAGAAATTTCTCAACACCCCCCTCTCCTGTTCCTACTGCTGAATCACACACATGCTGCTGCACAGAAGACCACAATGCACACACCGTGCTGTTCTTGTTTTGTGAAGCCTAACATACATATTTAACCCGAAGTGTAACATCATCCAAACTCTACACCTGTTTTCCCAGATGACAACTGGGGAAAAATGCCCCAACAAATCAGGGTTCCCACTGAGGCATTTGTGTAAAATCCAAAAACTTTTCTGTGTCTTTCCACAACCTTTCCATGGCCGCTTGTCACTACAGCAACAATAAACTTCTGTTACATATTTTACACGTAATTCCTCCATGATTTTTAAATGCAGTTTCTTTAAAAGGAGAACACTTGTACATAGTTGAACAGCCCAGGTTCCAGTCACGCTGTGAAGAAGCAAAACTATCTCATGTAATGAATGTTTCTTTAGTGTGTGTGTGTGTGTGTGTGTGTGTGTGTGTGTGTGTGTGTGTGTGTGTGTGTGTGTGTGTGTGTGTGTGTGTGCGTGTGCGTGTGCGGGGGGAGGGGGGGATTGTGCACATGCATCCTGTACAATAAGTCTTGGACAGAGTCAGCCAGGCCAAGCAGACTAGGGAGTGTCCAGACCTGATCAAAGGCCTGGGTTCTGGTGTCTGTAAACAAGCGGGAGGATTTCAGTCCTGCTGGCTCCCTTCTCCAAGGCCTCCTCCACACACCGAGCACTCTGTTACTCTTGGAGTCAGACTCTTAAAATAATAAGTGATGAGGAGCTGTGTGCTTATGATGACCAGGGTGTTCCCTCTATATGAGCAGAGCCTGTCTGTTCTAACTGCCGGGCTGACTTAGTGCATGATGCACACACACATGAACGCTCGCAACTCGCATACGAACACCTGTACACACTAACTTTATAGTGGAGATCACCCAGTCTCGCACATCTGTGCAGAAATATTTTAAAAAGCCTTTCTCACATTATTGGGTTACATTTTACAGGAAACGCCAGATACGTGTGCCTGCAGTGTATGTGTGTGTGATCTCTTATTTCATCTTGGCAGAGAGAACTGTCGTCAGCTGAACCACAAACAGAGCACTGCCTCAGCCAATCAAGTGCGAAGAAAGAGGTATTTTTCCCCAACCTACAGTATTATGGCACTTATAGTATACAGTTCTAAGGAAAGATAAAAAAATTTGGGAGGGGCTGAAAAGATCAAGAGTCCGGGAGAGAGCAGGTTAAGAGGAGGGCAGATATGAGGGAATGAAAAGAGAGGAAGAAGAAAAGAAAGAACAAAGAAATAGGGCTAAAAAACAAGACTAGAATGTTCAACAATGAGAAGCATTACCCCTCCTTAAAGGGAGATACATGTTGCATTTGGCCCTATTCATTTTAAGACATAGTACAATTACTGTGAATAATCCAGATATTGATAAGAAACAAAAACATGGGCCTGATTTTATGAAACATGAGCACAGACACTGTCCCTGGTTAGGAGACTATTCCTCTCCATCATCATCTCATATGAGAAGGCTTTTTAAAACGACAAAAAATGGGACCAGGTGGCTCGTCTAAGTCCTGGGAACCAACCTGAGAGCAGAGTAGGAGCCCAGAGACATTGAGGCAAATTCTGGGTGGTAGTACAGGTAGACAGAAGACACACAGGTAGGCAGGATGTCGATCACCCCCACAGCCACGATGCGTCCGTCCAGCCAGTACTGCTGATGGAAGGAGCCGTAGCCCACCTCGGGCCCATCGGGAGAATATTCGGCCTGTGGAGAGGAGAGTGAAAAACAGTAAGGGAAAGTGGTCACTGGTCAAAACAGTAACAGTACTCTTGTGTGCAATAGAGGCTGTATGTAAAACATATAAATCACAGCAGAATGAGAATGTGGTATTTAAAAGGATTGTTTTCACTTTCTACTACAGATCTACTTTCTCTGTCTTATATACACACACCTGTACTATGGTGTATTATAACCCCGGCTTTTCCCCGCCAGGCCTCACGCATTATGTGTGGGGGTGTACAGTAGCCTCACGTTCAGCCTGCTAATGGCTCCCAAATGTGGAGCGAGAGCAGGAGCAGGGTGGATTTTGGGGGTGGGGAGGGACTGGTCACAGAAACACTCCAGGAGAGGACTTTTTAATAAAAAGACCCTGCATGAGCAAAATCCATTTCACCAGGCGGTAGTGGAGTGTTGCCAAGCTTTCTCCTATATATGTCTGTGTCTGCTCTCTCCATGAGGCATGAAAGAATGTGGGCGTAGGTGTGCACCCGCGTGCCTTAGTCTACCCCATTAATAAAACAGTTAAGTGTTTGACACACATTGGAGTTTCTCATAGGGATCCGCATGCTGGGTTTTTCAATCAAGTGGCTTGACTGCTTTTATCACAGAGGCTTAAGACGAGAGGCTTGGGGTTAGGGTTAAAAGTCATGTTAAGCTAAAGTATTGGTTTATGTTTGTGTGTGTGTGTGTGTGTGTGTGTGTGTGTGTGTGTGCGCCTGTCTTCAGTGCATGAGTAACAGGATCCCTCTCCTCTGCCAACTTTCATCTGGACCCAGTTAAATAGCGCAGACGCTGCTAGTTATCACAACACTGAGAGAGTGAGCTCTCTTATCCAGCGTGTACACTGGGCTCACACTTTAAATTTCACACACACACACACACACACACACACACACACACACACACACACACACACACACACACACACACACACACACACACACACACACACACACACACACACACACACTCCCTGCAGCTCTGTGACCCCACAGGGCTGAACATCACCAATGGGGTGACTGTGTGCCACATTCCTCCTTAGCACCATGTAAGGTTTTCTTAAGCAGAGCTGGTAATATAAATAAAACTATATCCCTCTGGCTCAGGCGCTTGGACACCCAGGTCTGATTTCATGTCTGACACAATGTACACTAGAGTCCATTTATTCTTTTTTTATGTGTGGGTAATTGGGTGGGGAGGGATGATTACATCGTCTAAATGCTCCTCCACATCACAGGACATATGATATGACATAGAGATGATGTGGGTTTACTACACATTAGCTGTAAATGACTGGCAGACAGGCTAAAAGGAGGGAAGAACCTAGAATAAAAATGAACCGTTATGTGGAGGAGATAGCTTGGGGGGGGGGTGCTGAAAGGGTGACAGACACCACATCTGGAGCACAGCACTTGCACTCTACGTGCTGTGTGTGTGTGTGTGTGTGTGTGTGTGTGTGTGTGTGTGTGTGTGTGTGTGTGTGTCTGGGGGAACTGTCCGTCTGTATAAGCAGGCAGCCTGTTATTTCTTGGCACCGGCACTCCCAGAAACACTGGAGGCTTTGTCAGAGGCCCCTCGGCATCATTTAGAGGTTGTAAGTAAAAGGAGAGCGAGCTGAGCGCTGATCAGTGTGTGTAAGAGAGGGAGATTTTTCTTACCTCACCTCGAGTATACATGCTCGAGCACAATTCTATGAACGCAAATGCCAGCGTGATAGAAGTAATGGCTGCCTGAGTCTGTATGTTTGTTTATAAGTTCATACCACGTTCAAGGCTGATCTTGTCTGACCGACCCGTGCGTCACCTTAGACGACAGCTTAATGGTTGTGTCCTTGCCGCTGTGACAACAATCTAAACATTCTCTGGAGCACATCAAACCACCCCAGATCCTCCACTGCAGCCCCAAATCACTCTCATATGGCCTAAACACAGGGCCATTTGAGCAGGGAGGTTTGTTTCGCCTGCTTAGAGAGACACTTATCGGAGCAGCTCATTATGTAAAACTGTCTGAAACAAGGATCCAGTATATGATATTTACTTTACAGCTCAGAGCTGAGGTATTGAGTATAATAAAATACCTTGCTGAATTAGATCATGATTGTATATTGACAAAAACTTCAACAAAAATGCTGTTATAATTATGTAAATCGCAAGGGTTGCAACATTTTGTAGAAATGACTTCAGTGGCTTTACGGGACTCATGTGTGACATTTCAAGGACATTACTATATGGGGCTGAAAAGACACACCGATCAAAAGCCCCAATTTGGACAAAGAGGGAGACATTTTATTCAATGTGATGAAACCGCAGCTGTTTTGAACATTGTTTTAGGCTTGACTCCTGCTTAGAGGGTTTGGATGTGTCAGATATCAGTTGAAGAACAGATTTTAGAAATAGCTGTGACTTTATCCCATTTCCTCACAACAATCTGTGAATTACACAATAATTTTTGGGGTTGGATTGATTTCTATTCCCCGTTTCCTTGTACTTTTTCTGTTTTCTATTTTTGTAGCATGTCTTTACCTATTAAGCTTTTTCATGTGGATAATAAACATATTATTTCCAAGTAATACTACAACACTCAGCAGACTCCTGTGATGTGTGGTTTCGTGGGTCAATTGTGCCGAACATGTTTACTACAGTTAACTGCTGTAGATAAAGAAGCACATTAAGTCTATTAATTGCTCAGTTGCTAATAATTGCTTTTGGGTGGAAATCAGTCAGTGGAGGAGCAGTGTTTACCATGTTGCCACTTTTTTCTTCTGCTAAACCTCAACTCTGTGTGACTCTGTTGTTAGACCTGCTGTAGCAATTATGCTGTTATGATGTTATGATTGTGGCACAGACCAACAACTATAGAACTAACTGGGGCTGAATGGTTTGCAAAAAAAGCATAGTGCGATTATTTTGGCAGATGTTGCGTTTGTGATATGCCTCAAAATGTGAGCTGGAATGGTCATTTTTGCATTTTCACTGATGGAAATAAAATGATGATGTCATTTTTGTTGGGCTTTGTACCAAACAAGTATGTTCCCTTATGTCTGGAGGATATGAGTTGCAGGCCCAGGGCGTATCTGTAGCTACACAATTAATTCTTCAGCCCTAGAACTAAGACATTGTAAACTTTCTCTCCTTATTTAACTCACAAATGTGCATCTACACACAACCGCAAATCTACTCCGAGCAAGACCTGTAAACAGGCTGCAGGTGTAGCACAGCTCACATCATGAGCACCTCTTATTGTTGCTAAGCAACAGTACGCATTTCTCCCATGCTTTAAAAGGACAGAGTGAAATTTATTTTAGTATTTAACTCATTTACAGAAGAGTCTGTTGTTTCACTCTAGATGCAGCTAGTAGACCTTTTCTGCTTTTGGCTTACAGGTGGGGCATGTACAGTGAAGTCTGTGTGCTCACCAGTGTGGTATGTCAGCTGGTGCATTTCCTGCTGATGTGTATTTCATTTACTTAACATCATGAGAATTCTCATCCTCTTCCTCCTCGGGAAGTCAACACACAGAAACACAGACGGACAAACAAAGAGTTTCAGAGGAGTGGCCAGGGGCCTGGGTCTATAAAAAAATATAGTGACTAATTGGTGGACACCTCTGTTAATGAGTGTTTGCCCCTAGGTTAGACACATTAGGAGGCTGTAAAGACAAATAAACAGAAACAGAATGAGTGCGTGAACCCCGCACAGCCCATAAAACCCAGAGTTTCTTGACCTCACCAAGGCCAAGTGCAGCGAGAGACACCTGCACGACTGCTGCTCATGTTTACGGGCACTGATGCGCCACTGTTTATCAGACAGCACAAATGTGTTTTTACTTGTCTGTTTGTTTGTTTTAAATGTATTAAACAAAAAAAAAAAAAAAACAACAACAACAGAGGAATCGGTAACAGCTGATGTTAATTACGTCTGAGTTTCAGCACGAATCCTCTGCAATTTTGGTAAAATGGAGCAGGGCAACAAACAAGCAAGTCAGACAACCTGGCTCCTAATTAGCTGCAGTTGAATTTTTAAGTATGCTGTTTGCATACATTTGTATAAATGCAGGCTTACATGTAAGCTGATCAACCACACAGTATGCAGGTCCATGTGGTGAGTGTCTGTGTGTGTGTATTTTAATAGCACCCTGATTGGAGACAGATGGAGGCCAACACGCAGAGGTAGCTCAGAAAGCCACGCATAATAACTCTGAAATGGAGAGCATTTGGAGAAGACAGAGAGGGAGAGAGAGAGAGAGAGAGAGAGAGAGAGAGAGAGAGAGATCAGAAAAAGGAATAAAAACAAGTCGGGCAAGAGGAGGCCAAATGAGTGAAGACGGCCCCCTGATTCAGTCTGAGAGGAGGGGACAGTGAAGGCAGGAAGATATGTGAGGCAACAGTACGTGTGCGCACGTGTGTGTGTGTGTGTGTGTGTGTGTGTGTGTGTGTGTGTGTGTGTGTGTGTGTGTGTGTGCAGACCTGTGTAATTCACTGTGCCTGGACGCCTGCCTTGACGAGGTGATAAAAGCTTGTTTCCTATAAACACTAATGATGTTCATTAGTGAAGACCTGAGGGGGCCCACAGGGCAGCACAGAGTGACTGTGTTTGTGTGTCTCTGTGTCAGTCAGTTCGTGTGTGCTCTTGGACCTCAATCCTATTAAAGTGGCTGTTATAAGTGCCCATCCTGGGTCTAATTGCTGGTGTAATTATCCTGACCCAACACGTCCACTGGTGTTTCTGAAGGCAGCAGCTCACCAGGCCTGCTCAGCACTCAGTGATGCCTGGATGCACCTACATCTCACTCAGTGACCACAGAGAATATGCACATCTTAACTATGAATCCTCTTCCAGATGCTATCAACATCCTTCATATCATAACCGGCGAAATCTTTAATTTGTAAACAGATTACCAGCAAGATTGTATTAATTAATGCACCAGAAGCTGAAATCAAACTTCCTATGGAGCCTAAATAATTCCCTGTTTTCGCTAACTAGACCAATAGCCATCTGTTAGGTCCCAAATTAGTGCCCACGAAGCTGCCTCATCAGCCTGTAATCTGTACCACACCGCACAACGTGAGGAGCGTGTGGTGTGTCCCGTTCTGTCAAGGCCAGAAGAAAGGACTGATCTGAAGACCCTGTGCTGAACACAGACGCAATGCAATCTGGACACCACATTTCACCGTTTTCCTCCCTCAACACCCCCCTTTCACTTCGACGGGGCTAAATTAAAGCCCCTCCAATATGAAACAAAACCCCCTCCTGAATCCCTTAACCCACCGCTCGATCCAGCTGGAGGGCTCTTGAAGAGATAGAGCAAAGGTGGGTGGGTAGGTATGTGCTGCATGAGGGGGAACTAGTGTGAATTTATCCCCCTCTCGAGTGTGCTTGATGAAGAACTAAATACTGAAACGCTGGACATTTTTAAAATCATTATCTTCATCTATGACAGTAATTTCCCCGGGATGACCTTGTCTTTGTTGGAGCAAATCATTGCAGGTAACACATATGGATGAACTGAGGCATTTAAAAAGGGGGTTTTATTAAACTGTCAACAGGCCAAAGGAAATACATACCTCTAGTGGTGAATCACAGAGAAATCTCCGGAACTGTGGAGGGAGACAGAGGGAGGGGGGAACAGAGAGAAAAACAGTTAGTTCTCTGGGTCACCAACCTTTTAGAAAAAGCATAAATGAAAACCATACATGTGTCCATTGCTGTCCTACATAGTTTATCCCTCCCTGTTTTCTCCCTGCTCAGGTGTCACATATCAAATGCAGCCCCCCCCCCCATTCACAAAGGGGCATAAAAAGGAAGATTGTATTTACACAAATGAAAACATTTAGCCTATCAACTAAAGCTCACAGTCCAGGGAGGACATAGTGACAGCTTAAATACACAGCGTCGCTGATGTCAAAATAGCAGATTTCTTAACACGCTTAAAAATGCACATCAGATACCAATTACTGGGGGACTTTATGTCTGTGGAAACTTTAAATCTTTCTTCCATTCTCTCTACTATTTCCTTTGCTCTTCTTTTTTTTTTTTTTTTGCGCCAGAGTTGAGAGCAGTGTGTTTACAGATGAGCTGACCTGCAGGACTGGAGGACAAACATAGCACGCTTCCACGTTTAGGGCCAAAACCATTCTATAATGAGAAAAAAGTGGAGTAGTGATGGACAGCTTTATTCAAGTCTATCTCACCCTCATACACACACACTCATAAACACATGTTTCAAGTTCATATTTCACAAGGAAATGCTACAATCCAGCTGCGTCGTTCATATACTGTATGCTATGTTCAACTTCGGGTCCACTGTCTGCGTGAGTGAGTGAAACATGGGTGTAGAATAACACCAGAGTATTATAAACATAGGATACAAAGGGTCCAGACAGGACGGGATATAAATGAAAAAAATAAACAAGGTTGGGATATAAATGATGTAAAATGGCTCATAAAATAGGAGGTAACATAATGACACTCCTTATTAACCAAAGGCTGCCATCAATGTGTTGCTTTTTTCTTGGTTTACCTCACTCAAACCCTGACTCCAGCTTGGGTTTGACTTATACAGGCTTATTAATGGCAATATATTTGACAGAAATAGCCAATGGCTGATACTTTGAGCAGATTTTAGGAATTTCATTACCTCCCCAAAGTTCTACTAAGTCAGAGTTTGCTTTTTTTCCCCCTTGTAATCCTGTTCTTGTCAGAGTGGAAAATAGCACTTTGGACACTTAAAATCTACATTCAAACACATGCTAATTGCATGTCTTTGAGGTGGGTTAACCGGAAGTAAATGTTGTGAGTGACAGCAAATAACAGACTAGTAACTGGGTAAAAAGACCAGTACAATTGCTGGTATTTGGAACAGGACTAGTCTTTCACAGATCCTCTGTCAATAAATGGCTGGATCTTGGTTTTCCTCTTATATGAGGCAGCTCTGTACTGCCATATAGAGTTGGTGGCCGTTCCTTCTCGTTAGAACCAAGATGCTCAACGGGTTACTGGAAATTCCCACAAGCACACCAACATCCCCTGTTTGTGTGTTAGTGTGTCTGTGCACAGCAGTACAGCTAGTAATAGTGATGACTGCTGAAGGCATGGTTCACTGGGTGGGACAGTCCTGGCTTAGATGCAACTCAAAGTCCTGCCAGTAGCCTGAACTCATCCAAAAGAGTGTGTGTTTCTCCATTTGTCTGCCACAGCTGATGTGTGTGTTGGTGACACTAATACAGTGTTCTCCAACACGGGGGTTGTTTTGGCAGACATGAGCTAAAGAATGATGCACTGTCATCTGTCATTTCTATTTTACCTTTGCCTGAGGCAAACACCCAAACAGTTTTCACTGCCTTTCAGACTCGCCCACTCGAGTTGGATTCTCATCAGAAAAAATGACTAAATCCATAAAATATTAGTTAAGTTAGAGTCATAAAAATAAGCAAATCTATAAAATATAAGGATCGAGCACAGAACTTGCAGAACAAAAAGACAATTCATGCATTGCAGCAGTACATATAAGTCTTGCTGAGAGGTGCTGTGCTGAGCTGTAACAGTCTCACAAATCGTGCAACACGCCTTTTCCCTCAATTCAACCTCACACCAGGGTGGAGAGGAGTAGAGGGGAATGTAGAAAGAATACATACATATTATTTAATGTAAATGTATTAAAATTCCATTCACCTGCTGAAGAGAAAAGGATTTTGCTCAAATTTCACACTTTCCATGACCAATATGGAAATCAGACTGACTACATCTGTTTAGTCGACAGTGATCCTTGCTCATGCGAAAAAATTCTTATTGAGTTCTCCACCTGTGTAACCAATGCCAGTAAAGTGTAATTTTCCACTCCTAATTCTGCAGTGACTACTGCTTTGCCAGTCAACAAATTACCAACAGCAAAGCCTCACAATGTGCAATACTGCTGAGGGGCACAAATGAAACTTTTGTTTAAAACTCTCTCCCAAAAAAAAAAAGGAAAACTAAACGGTTTACCAACAGCTGCAGTTATTAGATGACATCATTTATAGAGACCATGCTACGACACTGGCTGCTGTGAGTCTCCAGTGGACTTGGTAGTAAAACGCTGTATTATTTGATTATTTGATTACTAGTCTACAAGTGTGTGAACTTGGGTGTGTGTGTCATGTTAAGTTCTGACACCTATGAGGACCTCGCTCCTCCTACTGCTGCTGGGGGGCTGCTGGGTAATCACACCGACAGGAACAGGCAGTGGAGCACAGCAGCCTTCCACTGCTGCGTTAACCTCGCTTGGCTGGGTGAGGCTGCTCTCCTGGAGCCTGGCAAGGTTGACCCCTCTCTGGTCACTGACAAACAACAGACCACACAGTCCTGACAGGCTGACACAGACACACACACACAGACACACACAGACACACACACACACATAAACACACTCTGCAAGAGACAGACAATCTCATGTGTAGGCACAGTCACTCAGGCACCGAAGACAGTAAGGGAACAAACATGTGAATACAATCTCAGCTTCCTCTCTCCCTCTACCTCTAATACAACAACACATATGCCTGTAAACGGAGCCGAGTGCAGAGTACCTTCTGGAACGTTCTCATCACCAACACATGGAGTCCATCACTTCCTCTCTAACTCTCCCTTTCCTATAGTAAACACTCATCTGTGTACGATTAGGAGGGCAAGCAGCCGTCTCTTACACACACACACACACACACACACACACACACACACACACACACACACACACACACACACACGCACACATAAGCTGTCGTGTCTTCACTCGCACACATACAGTACATATAAACACACACATCTGCTTAAACCTAATTGCCACTTAAACCCATCGTCACTGTGCTCTTTACTTGCTCAAATTGCTGTGCTTATTTGAGCGACAAGGTGCTTGTATTCAGTCTCACATTATAAAACAATAAAAACAACCCCAACACAGTTTTTTTTCTCCATCCCAAACTTCTGCTGACTAGATCTTTGTTGATCTCAGAGTGTATAAAGGAGCTTCAGGAACCTAGCTGCAAGCAGATCTATGATGATAAAGCTGCTTACAGCTTACATTGAATTTTTCATTATTGTGCATAAGCATGTTGCAAATAGCTTTAGGATAATCTCAGCCAAAAGTTATTTTTCCATATACTTTTCTCTTTTTTCACGTGTCTTGGTTGAGGCTCTAGCCATCAACAAGAGTAAATACAGATTTAACAGGATTTGTATTCCTGAAAATGAATGCCACATGTGCAGGAACTCAGAGTCACGGCTCAGCACAACAGTTAAGAACAGTAAGTGTGAGTGAGAGTGTGTGTGTGTCTTTGTGTGTATGTGTGTATATGTGCATATGTCTAAATAATTGCAAGTATGTGCTTCAGCTCTGTCAGGAAACCAGGATTGGATGTGGATGGAATAATGTCTGGCTCCCTTCCAGTCATGGTATGACAGGAAATGCATGCATCCTTAAACAAATAAAGCCATTCCGCTCTAGGACATCATACTGTCTAATGATAGTACAATTTTGGCAGGGTAATTCAACTTGCACAAACACACAATCTCTCCTATCGCCTGGCTCAGAGCCAGGCTGATGGTATTCCACATTCTGTCCCTAGGTAGTACTTTAATAGATTAATAAATACCTCTGTAAATACTAAATGACCCTACTTCCTAGGTAGCAGCAGCAGGCCTAGAATGGCATGGCACCAGAATGTGCCATCACCACATCAACAATGTGTTTCCCATTTCTTTATGAATGCCACAGGACAATGGGGGGGCTCTGAGCTTCTGGGAAGAGAACAGGGGAGTTCACCGGGAGCTTGACGGGCAAGAAAATAAAATCAGCAGCGTTTAGTACTGTGGGCTCAGGGGTGGTTGTCATAGTAGTGAGTCCAACTAAGGGGAATACAGTAAAGTTAAATTTGTTTTAGTGGGAATAATTAGGGCTGGTTGTGTATAAATCAACTGCAGTGAACCTGGAGAGCACAACATCTACAAGGCTGGTATTAATGTGATACAACACCGAAGTGTCTAGTGGCTGATGCCAGGAGGAGGGAAGTCTTGTATGGACTTGTTTAGAGTCCATCTCTAGAACATCTCCATGAAGCACAGAAAACGCCTGAATGTATGAATTGTACATTTTATCATCTTCATTAAACCCTGTCAAAATTTCCCTATACCACTCCCTCAGGTAGAGACGTCAAGATGAAATACAATGAACGTGCTCACCTGTAAAAGTAATGAACCCAACCTTAATTCACTCTGTGCTTTTACACAACACTACATTCAGTTAGTATCCAACCTGGAAAGACCATCAATTAAAAAAAAAAAAAAAAAAAGAACTTTACTTTCTGGGCAACCCAACAGACAGCAGAACTGTTTGTGCAGCTCACACCTTTTTATTTTTTTTAGATGTTATTCCTCTAGTTCTTGATCCCATCCAATCCCTGTCCAGTTATAAACCTAAAGCTGAAGCTGTGCACACAAACACACACAAACACACACAAACACACACAAACACACACAAACACACTCCCTATTAATAGAGCTGGTGTTATGGCACTAGGAAAGAATCTGCCACAGTCTGCCCAATCTGACAGTTTTTATTATTTATTAATTACCTTACTTTTACAAGCTGGAGAATTCAGTAATTTACCGAGGCCTGCTGGCAGGAGGGTGGAGGGGGAGGTTGTTTTTCCAGCCCTGAGGGACAAAAGGCCCTCTCAGGTTAGAAAGGATGTCCAGCAATTCTGCATCCTGACTAGACTTTTTCTCCTCTTAAATATATATATATATAATCTTGAGAAAGAGAACCATGCGTATATAATTTCTAATATTTACTGTGTTTTATAAATTCATTTTTTAACGTAATGGCTCTATACTTGGTTACTCTTTGTGTTTCCTGTTCTCATTCATTCCTGGACAATACGTCTCATTCACTGCATAAACTGGTGAATTCTCTCGCTCTCTAGTTTACAGCATTTACAATTACAGTTTACACATTACGCATACACAAGAATAATGATTAACTGTACAGTAAAAACATTTTAATGATCCTAATTATTTACCAGGGCTACTAAGTGCTTACATTCAACCCTCCAAAATCCCAAAGATTTGACATTAAATCAACAGAAAACAGCAGCAGCAAATTCTCATGTGTATGTTATGTCGTGTATGAAGCTGGAAGAAGCGTGTGCAGTCGTGCCCTAAAGTAGGTGCGGAAAAATAATCATGCAGTACCTCACTCTCACTACATTCGCTGGGGTCATCACCATGAATGGCCATCTGGTAGCGGGTGTACAGTGCCACCGACTGCTCATAGGATGCTGTGAATTGAGGGTCCTCAAAGCTGACCGGCACTAGCCTCACCTTCAAGTACAGGGTGTGGAGGGAAAGGGGCGGTAAGGTGGAGGGAGGTTTTATTAGGATTGACAATGAATGTGAAGACAGAAATTATAAAATGAATTTAAAAAAAGAAGGGGAGAAAGGACAGATGCTTCGATGGAATGAACAATGCAGGAATCAGCAGTAGAGGTTTTACACAACAGTGTTATAGTTCTTTGACATTTTAGGGTTCACATCAGTCTCCTAGTCCCCAAGGCCAGCTGGTAACACAGAAGGTCTGTTTTGAGTTTGAGACTTGATTTAGTGATTTTATCAGATTGTTGAACAAGAAGGACACATGAATTAAAAAAAAAAAAAAAAGAACCAATGGGATTCTAGGAGACTGAGAGTGTGTTTTTAAAAGAGTAAGATGTCATGCAACTTGAGGATGAGGCTAGTGCACTGCCCAGCTTGTCTACCACAAATCACCCGGAGAAGACTGGGAAAACTCACGATTCAACACTCTGCGTGTAAGGTCCAGAGCAGCAGAGATCCAGACTCGTGTCTGAATGGATCATCTCAGCTAGACACATACAGACTCTTCCCACACTACAGACGCCTCAAGAAAGTAAACAGAGTAAAACAGACTGCACGCACAAAGATAATTAAAATCTCATTACCAGCACCTAATCCTAAATTGAAATGAGATTCCATCTCAGACAAAGGGAACCATCATGAGGGTAGGGTGATGGGGGGGGGGGGCAGACGAGGTAAATGTGTGAAGGCTGGGTGCGCTCAGCTGATGAACTGCCCCCCCCCCCCCCCCCCCCAAAAAAAAAAAAAAACTGAAACAACTCAAGACTAACGACCCTGCTGGTCGACTGAGGGCCAACTCCGACACCTGGAGAAACACTGCTCTCAACCGTGGCGTATGGAAACATTTTCCCCTCCATTTCCTCTCCCTTTGACTCACGCTCTTATACACATACACTCTCTTTTAATACTAACATGTTAATTCACTTTTTTTTCATTCATACAGACATTTTGGTTTTTCCCCCTGAGGCTTGATGTTGGAAAGTTGAAGCACCAATTATTTACCAATTCCAATCTTGTTTCCAATTGTAGATATCTAAGGTGCAGTCCTGACTGTGGTTCATTATGATTTAAAATAAAAAAAAAAAGGTAAAAACAATACCCATTACATAATTAAAGTATAAACTTAACAATGAGTAACTGTTACTAAATACTGTTACTAAGTAAATAATAATTACAAATAAACAGACACATCCAAAAATATTACTCCCTGTGTTGCATTTGTTTAAAAAAAATGTATAAAAACATCAAAAACATATGAATCACACCTGGCGCTTACAACAAAGAACAACTGAACCAATGATAAATTTCTCTATCTATTATATGATATAAAACGTTTGAAATTTTGAAAAGGGACCAAATGATTAGAGCAAGATGAAATCCTTTTGATGCCCCTGTAGGCACCCAAACTTTTCAGCCCCCCCGCCCCCCCCCCCCTCCCTGAGTGCCCCTAAAGCAGGTTGACCTATGCGGCCCCCACCCTCTGACCTGGCTCTCGGAGGGTTTGTCAGGAGGGTCCTTGTGAATGGCCATCTGGTAGAGTTTGTACACCTGGTAGGAGGCGTCGAAAGAGGCTTTGAACTGCGGGCTAGGGGGATTGGAGCGCACTAGCCTCACCTTCAAAAAGAATATGGGCAGACAAGGGGTTAACATCAAAATGGATAAGAAGTGCTGAGAATAACATAAGTGGATATACTGTATATAAAAAAAAAAAGAAAAAAAAGAGGAACAAAATCAAAGAGAGAAAAAGTGTGAAAGAACTGTGAAAAGAGAGAGAGAGACTGACATAAACCCACCCTCTTGTAGCTGAGTGTCATTAAGAGTTTTAACCATTTTATAGACAAATTCAAAAACATCAAACTTTGGATTTTCTGAAGCTTCATGGGAGAACAAGAACAGTACAGAGTGGGGTGAGTTATGTCCATCTCCACTGTGACACAAAATAGCACATAAAAAAAAAAAAAAAAAACATTTGTTGCAGAAAATGCAGAAATAATCATTAGCCTATTTATTGTGGTGTGTGTATGAGCCCATTTCCAGTGCTTCACCATGTCGTTTTATTCTTCATCCTGATCATGTCCAACAGAAACCAGAAACCAAATTTGTTTACGTGTTGATTTATTACTTCAAGTGCAATGAGTTCATGTTCAGCTAACCTACCCCAAGTTAGCAAAAAAAAAAACAAAACAAAAAAAACATGTAAGTTACCAAATCAATGAATCCATATATACATGTGATAGATGCATAATAAACCAAGGCATAAAGATATTCATGCTAAGACCCATTTGCAACCTCACACACAGCATTTCTTAATGTTGTCCATGCAGTGCTATGAATCAGCCTCAACAGGGAGGATCAGGAGAAGCCTGTGATGGAGAGAAAATTTGGCAGAGTGTTGCTAATGTCACAAAATCTACAGAGGAATTCAACTTTCTCATCCTCCGGCCCCATTTAATTAACCGTCTCTTCGTTTGGAAGCTTTTGTTGGCCACAGAGGCTTTGCCATATGAATCCCCTGGACGGACAGGATAGAGGAACTGAACCTGGGGTTTGTTTGAGTTGGACCTAAGCGGGTCTCTCTCATATGACCACTTGGCATCCACATCCTTTAGTCAAACAGAGACGTTGGGCCTCTTACATAAAAGGACAATGCTCAAGTTCGGTCTCTTTAATTTTGTACTAAAGCTAGATATATATTTTGATAGGCTGAAATCCTTTTGGTGAACCAACACTGCAGCAGTTGGTGGAAAGCATGAAAATGAAATTTTAACAATTCTCATAACAGTCTTGAAATTTGACACCAAGTCTAAAATGCTTGACCACTTTAAGAATGTTCAAATAAAGCCACATAATACCAGTGGCTTTTGTTTGGCTTTAATTAAAATGAAAGATCATGTTTTCTCTCTTTCTCTTTAACTGAGACATGTGCTGCCCTGAACCTGAATCTTTCACTACACCATTATAAAGTAATATAACAGAGGAGACATTATGTTAATGAGAAAAGTGTGGTGACGGTAGACAATACTCATGAGGAGAATAGCGGGTGAACAATTCCACACTTTCCTGAGGTGCCTGAGGGGCTCTGAATCACGTTCTCACACTGACCCCTGGTGGTGGATAGTCAAACCAAAGCTGCATTTAAAGCCCGGACACAGGTTACTACGGGACTGTACATACATCTGAACTTGCCTTCCCTGTCACTGTCACTTATCTCTTTGCGATGCATTTAAATTACTTCAAAAGTACCACAGATGCCAGATTGTGTAACAAACATGTCAAGAGAAAAATTTCAACTGAGCAGTTTCACACTAAGGTGAGCCTATGGCACCACCAAGGCAAAGGGATGTTTAATCACCAAATTTCCCTTTCCTGACTATATTTATTTTCGAAGATGTCACATTTATCTTTTTCCCATCAGTCAAATAGTGTGATATGGATGTGTTTATGATCAAACTGAGCTGCGCTGCATTTAATTGCTCTTGTGTAAACAGCTATCCTCTGGTGTTGGTGTGAAAGCCTCTTTGAACTCAGTCAACAGTTCAGAAAGCCAAGACTCAACATCACATTGATTCATTAAGTTGCTTATCATCCAAATTGTTCCTTTAGCCACATATTCTTTAATAAATACAGGCATCTCTCAATTATTTGACTTGTAAAATATATTATTAGCCCTTGATTTGCAAAGGATAACCTTGTATTCATCCCCACTTAGTGAAATTTAACCACAACTGCAGGCAAACAATCCAATTGAAAAGAGCGAAGCGGGAGGAAGTCTTGGTCTAGTCTCAGGGGCTACAGAGACGAGACAGACACTGCCTGGTTCATCACTGCATCTGGCTCAAATCTTGGTCAAGACCAAGAATGACGTTACACTACCAACCTCAGCTTGAGGCCTTCGCCAGGGATCTTTCTACATCGTTCTGCTTCCTGCCAATAGTTCATTTCCATGTCCTCTCGTACCGGCTGAGCTGGGAGCTGTGGTTTTAATGTCATCAGCAGGGTAACGCGACCCAGTTTGTGTGGTGTGCCTGTCATTTGGTTGAATTCGAACTGGGAAGGGGTGGTTTTTCCACTCTGCTTTGGCCAGCTATCCTCTCAGCACACATAAACACATGGTGAAGTCACTGGGGCTAGGGAAGAGGGCTCTATGAAACCAAATTTTCAAGCTAACTGAATCCAAACATTATGGAGACGGAAAGCTAAACCAACAACACTTTTTCTTAATGATAGCTGGAATCATCACAATAGGCTAATGTTTATTCCAAGTCACATAAAAAGAGAAAACAAAGCAGCTACTCTTTATTTCTGCTCACCTCAAGGCAATGAGAAGAGTTGTCAGGCAATGACTCATTGATGAAATCTTCCAGATTTTTGGGTTGGTTGGTCTGGGTGGGGGTGCTTGGGGTAGGTGAGACAATAGAGGAGACCCCGTCAGCGTGTTGTCTCATCTGCTCTTTCTGGATACGTCGCTCCTTCCTTAAGTCTTTGGCCTTCCGACATGGCGGCCGGCTAGGATCAGCTCCCATCCCTGCAGCTCAGAGAAAAGCGAGAAGAAGGGAAGAGGGTGCCGGTTAGAAGGAGTGCTACAAAAAAACATCATTGTTAATCTGCTTTTGTGCAAAAGACACGCCATCACATTTTCAAAGCTTTTCCAGAAAAATAGGCACTTAAGAAATAACTCAATAAATCCTTTTAAGGGTGTGGATGAAAAGTGTTGCTTTTATGCTGCCTTCTGAAGAACACTTAACACAGGAGTATAAAAAGGGGTAACTTCAAGATGCTCACGTTGATGATTCTCAAATTTGGGACAGATTTTGTGAGTTTTACACCATGTTTTTGATGGATTTTTGCCTGCCCCTCTGGGCAAATGGGCTGCCATGTTTGCTTTAGTGTACCCCCTGCCGAAGAAGCCAGTCTCGACACAGAGCCCTATGGAAGTCATTTTCTTTTTTCACTGCCTCAATAGTCTTTACATTACATCATGGCTTAGGAGGCTATAAAACAATATGGTCTGTGGTAGTTAAGTCCAAGTAGTTAGCAGATAGCTAGTGTGTATTTATAAAAGGAACAGAAGAAGCAGAAACAGAAGATATAATGAATCCAAGGGTGTGATGTGGGCACTTGAATGAGTAGCTCTGCTCGCCATACCTGAGGTTTCTATTAACAGAACACACACTCATACAATCTCTCCATTTTTCTCTCTCAACATGACTAACATGAACATTCACTGAAGCAACTTAGTCTCTCCCTGTTTCCCTCTCTCAGTACCCCTCCTCATGCTTCTGCTGCTTCTCCTCATCCTCCTCATCCTCCTCATCCTCCTCCTCCTCCTCCTCCTCCTCCTCCACCACCACCTCCTGGGCTCTTGCCAAGCCCTCCAGCTCTCCGGGCATCCCATGTCAACAGTTTACACGCCCACATCCTGTTTGGAGCAATAAGGAAACGAGAGCTATTTCCTGCTTGTCCTATTGCCAGCCGTCACCATTAGCTCACTTACTAAGTTTCTCCTCCGTCAATGTCACAAGGAAGAGGGGGACACCCGGTCCTGACAAGTGGAGAGGGAAACTCTGGCACTGGCCAAGGTTCACTGGCAGCATTTGGCTTCAGCTGACTCAAATTTAAGGTCCTTTATTGTCTACTGTAAGATTCTATCATGTGAATAGTAAATGTGAAACACAGTAAGAGCTCCTTATAGATTTTATTTCAATAGTTCTGAGATATGGGTTTTGTATCAATAACAGTCACTAAAGGAGGGAAGCATTTCTCAGATATAAACATACAACCCTGGGAGCTATAGCTTGGTCAAATGGTTTTCCTGTCAGAATAAACACAGCAAGGTCAAGAGTAACTAGAGTCTGGACTGTGTTCATCACACTGACTCAACCACAAACACATCAACCTTATCCACGATCACTCCGTCCACGTGCCTCTCTCTCCCTATAATTAAACACTCACTATACACACACACACACACACACACACACACACACACACACACACACACACACACACACACACACACACACACACACACACACACACACACACACACCCTCTCTCTCTCTCTGTCAAGCTCTCACACGCAGACACAGGTACTTCTGAGGACAGCGTATGCAGCCATGGTTAAGATAAAGTGTGACAGATCAGTTCCTGTGGAAGACAGATGCTCCCGCTCCAGCAGTTAGCACTTCATAAAAGCTATGACACTCTCCCTCCCCGCTTCCCCAGGCACAAATATGACTCTCACAATCAGAGTAAACTGGCTAGAATTGTGACATACTGCTTTCTCACATGTAAACACGTAGAGCCACAAAACTAATTTACTGTGGGAGGAGGATATCTGTTATCTGTGAGCAGCCACTAAAATACTAACATGGGTGGATGCAATGTCATTTTATGGGGTAACTGTATGTTATACCACCACTCTGTCAACTCTGCCTACTTAAAAAACACACTGCACTGCTTCCTACAAAGCCACAAATTTGGGTCATCAGCCAACATGCTGCCACTCTAACCAATACCACAATGTGCACCAGCACACTGATCAACACTATTCTTTGCTCGACTTGCTTAAACCCTAACCCTGGTAAATTATTTCACTTTGGAAAAAAATCATCTTAAAATAAATATTTAGTTCATCTGTTAATGTTACAAAATGAGTCCCTTCAGGGCAATTAAAATAGTTTAATCTTTCATTTCAGTATTGACTAGTTCCCCAGACTTAAGCTTCTTTACTGCTACACTGTCTTCTGAATTGATAAAGGACTTATTTTCAAGACAGAACACAAATAAATCCACGAATGTTTCACTTTTGATTCCCACAAAAACAGACCCCAACACAGCTTTCAAAAAAAAAAAAAAAACACCTTCCATATGTCCCTCTGTACCTGTTTACCTCTGGCTTTATGTGCGATATATGGCAGATGGGGAGCCATGCTTTCTCAAGCGAGAGCTGGAACCTGCCCAAAGCCATAAAGTGCTTCAGTCATAAAGCTACAGGAGAGATATGTCCAGGTGTTTTCTGTTGGAGGTGAATAAGGGGGGTGTGGAGAACCGCTGGCTCAACATAGTAAATCCTCTTTGCTTCCTCTTTGCTAGCCTCCTAAAACAGCTTGTTATTTCTGACAGTCTGAGCAGGAGGAGCGTGGTGCTGCTGACACAGGTGTAAGAGCAGGAGGATACTGGCACTGCTGAAAATTCTCTGTATGTTTATGTCTGCATCTTGATTGACTCATGCCAGTACCAAGCTTCCTGCTCCAATATACAGTACGTCATTGTCTTTTGACTGATGAGTGTTCTCATTAGATGTTTGAGAGGAAAAGAAAGTGGGTGAAAAGTGGTGAAGGAAACAAGAACATTTGTTAGGAGTGCTGCTTCCTGTGTCTAATGGGGAGTTTATTATCTCTTCACTACGAGTGTTATTAATTCATTACTGTGAGTTGGCTGTGAGGATATCCTGTACTGGAGAGTAAAAAGGAGAACATGACAGATAAGCCCAAACCAGACACACTCCTGAAAACATCGAGGACACTGCAGCCTCATTCACCAGGCCGCTGCACAGTGGAGTCTATTACAAGGTGAACAGTGACACCCTCTGGCAAACAATGGTGCTTTTGCTATTGTAGAAAACCACAGTGACGGTTTTACAATTGATTGCCATCAATTGTCATTAAAGCTACAGTCACTATGTCTTAAGTCATCCTTAATGTACTTTCAACAAACCCAAAATGAATAATAAAAAAAGGAAAACAGCAAACAAGTTTTTTGGTAGGTGCAGCAGAACCACAGCATGATGCTACCTTGCTCTTAGGAGACACAATAAGTACTGAGTAGACAACACTGTGTGGAATCAGGATGGGACAAGTCTTAAGAGTAAATGTAGGATATTTTATTGTGGCTATTCAACCTGCCTCTTTAAGGAGGTATTTGAACATTTTGGTATTGCTACATAGCCAGCATTAGCATTAATAGCTGTTTACTCACCAGTCTTGCCAAGAGTTTCAGCCTTTGTTGTGTTTACAAGACAAGAAGTTATAAAACGTCCCTCCAAGAAGTGCTACTTCTTCAGGGCAGCCTCGACACTACAGTGAATCGGTATCAAAAAGTGACGAGACAGTCCGACTGGGCCAGGGCTAGGTGGTTAGATGCTAAATTCAGTACAAGAAAAGAAGTGATAGAAATAGAAGCAGTTGTTTTTCACAGCTGGACACAGCTCCTGACAAGTGAAGGAATTAAGTTTGAGGCTGAACACCCAACATTTCTTCTAGACTGGTAAGTAAACAGCTGTTAATGGTAATGTTGGCTATGTAGCAATAGCAAATCTTACAAATAGCTTCTTTAAAGCAAATAACCAACCTTCATTCACAGTCCTGTGTAAAGTCCTGGCTGGCTAGTTGAATAGTGACTATTCAGTTCTGGGATTAACCTGTTAATAAATAGCACTTTAATTTGCTCGATATCATCATCCCCAACAAAATACTTATATTAAATGCACTAATTGATCTCGATGATTGGCGTGAATAAAACTGCACTAACTTTAAAAGTTCCACCTGTTCCTACCAAGATGGTATTATAACATCTTGGTGTTACAAGAGAGTTAATGAGATAAATACATGCAGTAATTAATGCATTCAGCATAACACAAGATCTTAAGAAACCTACGATATCCTGTTCCTGAGTGATTAATGACACTAATAATAATTAGCATTATACAAACTGTCATTGAGCCACCACTCCATTACTCAGTCAGCCATTACGTTCTTTTAGCCTCTTCTCTCTGCTCTAATAACTCATTAACTGACTGATACATGCAGCTGCTGTAATATCACATTCACACTAAGGCGGCATGAACCAGCATATATTTAGCATTATGCTGCTGTATACAAGTTAAAGGATTCATATGGTCCCTGCAACTAAAGATTATTTTCACCATCAATTAATCTGCCATTTATTTACTTGATAAATCAATTAATTGTTTTGTGTATAAAATATAAGTAAATCTTGAAAACTGCATGCTATGATTTCCCACTGCCCAAGCATTTTTGCTTGCAAAAAATTATGTAGTGATAATGCAAGTGATGATCAAAATAGTTGCAGATTCATTTTTTTTAGATCCACAAATCATTGCAGCTCTAACTTCATGGTCTATGTTCTTTATATTGGGAAAAAAAAGCCATTTGAAAGGGAACTAGATTTCTTACCTGGTTTTGGAGGTGTGGCTGTCGTTCTTCCATCCGGAACAGATACAGGATCGTTTCTTGGCATTTCTGAGCCTGTGGGCACAGCGTCAGCTACCTCCTTCTGAACTCCTGTGATAGCGGGACACTCTGCTACTTCCTTTTGAATGTCTGTCACTACAGGACACTTCACTTCTGCGTGAGAGACTTTACTCGGTTCCCGTGGACCTGCTTCTTCACACACAGAGTCCATTGGCTCCCCTACAAGGCAAAAAATCAGTATCATTTACACCAGATACTGTGTTCTACAGAGCCACAGTACAAACCCTGTTGTGAGTTTGTGCCCAACTCCAAATGTATTTTCAACCATGAATTCTGATACATTTGCAGTCCAACAGTGCAACAGTGTTGACTGCTGACAGCTGAGTGACTGCTGTTTTATCCATTTTTTTATGGATCTACAATGCCAATACGGAGAAAATGATCAGACAATACACGGATATTAATAACTATTATATGAAAATAAAAATACTCTCACCATCATCCTGTCCTGTTGGTAATTCCCCTTTGGAAATGAATTTGCTCATCTTCTTCAGGATTTTCTTGTGGGATTTGGAAGGCTGAAATTTCACTGCATGACACCTTGACAGAGAGCACAAGGTAAATGTTTGGTTAGAACAACATACATTTACATATATTTCTGCTGTTACAAAAATATTTAACTATTAGTTAACTATTAGTTGACTATTAGTCAATCTGCCATGGGCCATCTTCATGTGTTCCATGTTATTCTGCTCTTGTCAGTTGTGAAGGAAATTCTGATGAGCGAAATTTCATTACCTGATGGTGTACTGTGGACAGCATGTCTTGTTCATTATGGGCTTATAGACATATTTCCCACTTCTGAAAACGAGAACAGTCTTAACTGCAAAATACATTATCAATGATTTGAAATATTCAATATGATGTTTCTATATAAATGACAAAATTCAAAAAGGTGCTTATGTAACTGTGCAGGGACTAGGTGAAACCAGGAGACAGCTACTCACCTCCTCCATCCTCGATCTATGAGGTCTTGGTAGTCTTGTACTGTCATGGTGTGAGACCACATCCCTGTAGAAAACAAAACCAACATCACTGCTTTAAAACATTTAAATGATTTCTTACAATACTATACTTTGCTTTGTCCACTTAAAACCAGAGAACACTTTTTTTTTTTTGTTGCACTTTTCATGACAAAATAAGGCTGAAATAGGAAGGATGTATATAATTAATGCGTAGTTGTCAGCAAGCTACTTGACAGTCCGGTGGAAAGTCCATATTTTTGTTGCAGTTTAAATCACAGTTTCCCCCAAAGTGCATTCCCACAGTGCTTTAAGGGCCCCATGTAAACAAATTTATTATTTGTAGCCAGAGCAGCTTGGATCCTTCTTCCCAGAACTGAGGTCTGAGCTCCCTGTGTCAACTCTTGACCTTTTCTTCTGCAACTATATACACAGATTGCTCATGCGCACACACCAGAAACTTTATGGTGAGACCACTATCAGTTTACATCTAAAACAACCGAGGGAACTGGCTGTATACCAGTTCACACAACACACACTTAGTTTGCAACTGAGTATAATGTTCCATGTCCCAGGAGAATGCTGCTTAGCCAGAGTCCACAGAGACAATGGGACAACACTGTGTGAGCCAACAGAGCGACACTACAACACTGAAACAGTGAATGACTGGAGCCAGCTCTAAGGCCTACACACACAGCAGCGAGACTGCAGGTTTTCTTTAATGACAATGGCAGAAACACTCCGTGAGAGGTATTATCATTACTGGACCACCAATCAAGGGGCTTTTAATTAACAATGTGTATTAGGTAAAACACCTTTTTTACACATCTTATAGATCAGATAAACATATCATAACATGTCTGTTCATCAAAGTATGTCAAAATCTTTTGTCTGTTGTACACTGTGGTGCAGCTACACATACTGCTGCATAAACAACATTATTATTATTTGCATCCAGGTTTGTTTGACAAAAAGAAAAACTGAATAAATTGCATAAAAATTTTTTTTAAAAATCACAACGGACCAAAGGCTTTGTGAAACTTTCATTCTTTTATACAAATCTTGACAATATATGTTGCCAATAATTAAATAAAAATATTATATGGATGATTGTGACTTTTAAGGGTTGAACCACATTAACACTGTTAAACTTACTGAAGAGAAAATCCTACAAACTTTCAAGAGAAGGTAAATTTGGGGAAAAACACAGCAAGCCCAAAGAAATAAGACAAAAACTGGCAGAAAGTCAGAAGTTTAAAAAGGTAAAAGTTCAACTGAATCAAGCCCTATGAGCTTGATGTGAGTGCAACAGCTGCCGTGATCGTGACACAACTGGAGCGCCTGATCTATTCTCCAGCCTCCACTGAGCCATGACACACACAGCAGCACAGAGGAGGGCAGATGTTGTGCTCTGTAGTGTGTGGAGTCACATTTGCATCTCATGTAACAACACTGTTGATAAGATCACTGCTCTCGAGGAAAACATTATCTTACTGAGCACCTGCTTGGAAAAGTCTACATTACAACATAAAACACTGTGCTCATATATCGGTCGATCTATAGACTGTTTCGACACCTCTTCCCAGGAAAATAAAAGCATTTCAGTGAGAATAAAACTTGAGAAATTATAGTGGAAGAAAACTGCATGTTTGCCACAGCTTGATTGTTTAAGCTGCAACATTACTTCAGAAGCCAGTGGCCTGAAATAACAGATTCAACTCTATAGTTGCAAGTCTAGTGCACTTTCTTTTACCCTGTATCCACAAAGGGAACCTCTAAACTTTTAACATCCATAGGGACCATCTATAAGAGTTACACAGAGAGTTCAGTCTTTCCTATTCTCCAGAACCTGCCATGCCCACATGATGTAACATCATTACCACTCTTAGATTAGACAACAGCATCGTCTGCAGGCTCTGAGCCCAATCGCTCATTGACTTCACCAGGAACTGCCTGAAGTCTAATTATAGTCAACCTGTCTCGCACCTGCTCAGCTCAACTGAATGACACTATTCTTTCCTGCACAGAAAATCCCTTCCCATCTTCTTACACAGCTTTTTTATAGCTCTGTATCAAAGTCAAACTTCTAAAAGTGCAGTTAACATAACGCAGGTTTTTCTGAACACGCAGTACAACCTTTTCACTTCAGTGCCCTTTGAGCTCTGCTAAACCGTCCACCCCAACTTTCAATAGATCGCTTATAAACCTTGATAGCAGGTGATTCTGTGGTCTGTGTCAACCTTTTGTGAAATCCTGGCAATGCAGGATTTTTGCAGGCTATTGAAACTATACCCTGAATTAACCTGATACACCAAATTTGGCAATATACCCATCTTCTCTTACTTTTCATTAAGTATACTACTATACAACAGGCAGTGGGTGGAAAGGCTCCTTTATGGAACGGAGCTACCCAAGACACAATACTCACAAATACAGCCTTAGAGCTTTCAATGTGTGTTACTAGCTCCCCACTGACTGAAAAATGATAAACAAGCTTTTTTTATCATATTAATTTATATGGTTGTGCAAGTCTGGCATTTATTTTAAAATTTCCTGACAAACAGATATGTAAACAAACAATTTTGTTGTTTGGACTTCATTTAGGATCAAGCAGCGGTATCCTATACTATGTTATTGACAATGTGAGAAGTATAAGTGAATATGAACAGAAATGTATTTCTATTAAATGCTTTGTCTATTGGCCGTTTTTGTATTCTTGTTCACTTGGAAGGGAACCTTGACCAACTCACAACTGGATCAGGGAGAGAGGATTTCCATTACCGCTGCACAGACTGTTTTCTCATCTGCCTACGTTCAACCAGGAGTAGAAATCAATCGAATTAAATACAGAATGTGGGTCATTAAATGTATCACCATTTTATCTCTGATGATGCTGCCATAGTAACAAGGCTGCACAGTCTGTTGAGATTGCTAACGGTACATGTCGTAAACATACTGTCTTCTGTTTCAGCATGTTGGTATCACTGTCTCATATTCCGTCTCATGTTTATGCTGTAACAGCACTCCACTCGGTTTATTATGTAATCCACACTGTCTGCTACACCTACAAAACTTAGTCAACTCAAAAAAGTATGAATAACTATTGTAGTTAATGCGCAATTCACTTCAATTATATAATGCGACCTAAAAGCGTTTAGCTTTGAGTAACATTAAATAAAACCCCGGTGCTCTTACCATCAGCTATAAACTATATACACCAAAATATTATTGTGACAGTTAAAGACACGTTTGCGCTTTCTTCATTTCCGCATTTCATCTGATACTTAAAGGCCTCTATATCAGTGTCACAGAACGGGCAGGCCAAATGAGAGAAAGGCAGCCGCACTTTCGCGTGTGAGGGCAACAGTCGTGTTTTCCTGTCCTGCACTGCTTATACACTGTTCGTTAGCTGGCTAGATGCTAATAGAGATGTTAACAAGTCTGCTGCTAATCTGCTAATGTTACAGCATTAGCCTTGAGTTACTCATTATTTCCAAATTTAATAGCCATTCAACAACAACGGCTCAATCTCGCTAATTTTATTCTTCGACAGTCTTGTTTTGTTTCAGTGTGAAACAGTTGTGCTGAAAGACGCTAATGGCTAGACACTCAGCTACGTCAATAACCTGAACATCATCCAAGTAACGTTGCGTGTACGCTAACTAATCTGTTACTCACTGTGTACTGTCTTCCGGAGTCAGTACATCAGCTATAGCTTAGTCAAATTTACATTTGGATTACAGTTAGCAAGCACTCTAATCAAAACCGGTCACTAGCCCAGCAAGTAGACGGAGCTAGGTCCTTAGCATCCGCTAGTTCTGCTATACCATCTAGCTGTGTTTCTTCAATAATTCATTAGACACTTACCATGAGAAAAATTTCCCTTTTCATTTTTACAGTAACCACAGCGGTAACCATCATCGCCGCCGAAATATTCTACTATAGTGTAAGACTTGTTTCCTGCCATCTTTAGTATCGAAACAGATGACAGCTGAGTTTGCCCGGTGTCCGGGCAAGTACTGCTGGACGTTAAACTCCGCCCACACCTAGGACGTCACCAGTGCTGCCTTGATGGCGTGTAGGAAATTCCAAAGTACTGAACATCAGACCTCTTATATCTAAACAGCTTTGAGTTGTACACGTTGGTTTAATCAGAAATGAACCACTGTATTGTTTACATGTCTAAAATGAGCGGTTTATGTTTTCTTGGCAAATAATAGGTGCAAGGGTGGCAACTATTTGAGAGTAGAACCAAGTCTGAAAAGAGTAATCTGTTAAGCAATTGAAGGTTAGCATTACTGTGTATTTAAAAACTTACCTCAATTAAAATGTGCAATAACTAAAATCAGGCTATAAACTAAATGCATTTGTAAACCATGGACTTTATGATGATTTTTCAATATTTATGTTTGTGACAGATACAAAACACAAAATCAAGAGTAAAGAACTGTACACTGTATTTATTCAATCATCTGTGCAAAAAGGACAGCAAGATAAAACTGAACCAAAATCCCACCCCAAAACACTTACAGTAAATTACAAAAACACCAATGGAGAGTTTGTATGTAGAAAAATAAGTTAGAAAATCACAGCTGGACCAATGATTTATTTTTCTGCCATTATAAAAAATGACATTACAGATGAAAGAGTTTCACCTGTCACACTGTCACACATACATAACGGAATTAATTTCCTTTTTTCTTTTTACCATAATATATATGTATATTGTGTAAGAAGCAGTCAGGAGATTGGTATTCATCTTTAAAAACAAAAAACAGATTCTGAGGTTTATGCACAGGTTCACAAAACCAGGAACTTGTTTGTCCAGTAAAAATAGCCTCAATTCAGCATGCAAGCTTCCTGCACCACCATGAGGGATTTATACAGGTGATGATGCAGCAGCTGAAAAGATGAAGTGCTACTGGCAGACAAGCCTTTAAATAAACTGGGCAGACAACACTTATCTTGACTCCTGGTGATGGCTCTTTGGTTGAGCACCTAACTAAAACTCCCCTGGGGTATAGGGATGTTTTCATGAAGGTATTTCATACTGCCTTGCTCAGAGAAGTCAGCCACAGTGTGCCCTTCCCCTCGAAGAATCCATTTGGTGGTCAGAAGCCCCTCCAAACCCACTGGACCTCTGGCATGTATGCGCGCCGTACTGATACCAACTTCAGCGCCTGTAAAATAAGTACTGTAAAATTAACTCTTCTGCCCCATTTTCAAGACAGTGGTCAGTCAGATCAGTTTACAATAGGATGTATATTATATTCTCTTTTTTTTCAGATAGTAATGAGAAGTAAAACCATGCCTGATACTGTACATACCTAGGCCAAAGCGGTAACCATCAGCAAAGCGAGAACTGGAGTTCCAGAATACACAGGCACTGTCCACCTGCTGCAGAAACTGTTCAGCAGTTTCTTCGTTTTCTGTAACAATGACATCCGTGTGGGAGCTGCCATATTTGTGGATGTGGTCCACAGCATCCTGCATGCTGTCTACCACCTCAATGCAGCACTCCAGGTCCCCATACTCTGTCCTCAGAGACTTCACCTCGGATGGGCTGAAAGTTAAATAGGATGCAAACCGGGGCCCTGCATGAATCTTCACCTGAGAGAAATCAAAAATAAACAGAGAATACTTTATTGACATGAGATAACCGCCAAACCATTTCTCCAGAAAGTTTGTCTCAGTTTCTGGAGCACAAACCTTCATCAAAGTATATAAAATATTTTACCATATACTGTAATTCTATGTGTAATATTTGTGCCCAAAGTTAAGGAGTGTTTCTGAATGTTTCTTACGTGTTCTATTCTCAGCATATCAATGATCTGGTCAAATATAGGAGTTCGCAGTAAGTCTTTGTGGATAAGGAGGGTCTCCATGGCATTACAGGCCGCAGGGTAGTCACATTTGGAGTCTTTAACTAAAATAAAACATAAGTTAGGATATTTATTCAGAAGTTCTGGGTTACCCCAACAAGCTCATAATAAAAAATGAATAAACTCTTACAACTACTAGAAGTACTTCTACAACCTGTAAAACACTCTGACCAAATTATAGCAGAAATACAAAATATCAAAATTTTCTCCAACATTCACAGCTACACACAGGAAACACATACCAACATCAATAGCCTTGTCTATGCTGGCATCGTTGTCTACATAGATGTGACAAACGCCCTCGCTGTGGCCCAGTACGGGAATACCCTTTGCTGCCCTTTGGATTTCCCGGACCAGCTCGGATGAGCCCCTTGGAATGATGAGGTCGATCAACTTATCTAGTCTGCAAAGATCCTCAACTTCTTCTCGTGTGCTCACCTACATGTCAAGGTACATTTTAGGATATTACAGAATTTCTGAGTTTATGTTAATAATGATGTGAAAATGTGTTTAGATTTACCAGTTGAATGGCATCTGTCACTCCATGAATGGAAAGTGCTTCCTGGGTTAGTTGATGTAAAATTTTATTAGTGTGAGCAGCTTCTTTACCCCCCTTCAGTAGCAAAGCATTTCCACTGGCGATAGCCAGAGCTGACACCTGAAACACAAAATAAAATACGAGAATGAGTGTTTAACTTTTAATGACAAAGTCATTAATTCTCGCAAACCAGCAGCTAATGTTGATTAAGTCTACAGGCTGAGCACTGGGCTTCACTGACCTGCGGGAGACAATCAGGACGTGACTCAAAAATGACCAGCAAGACACCGATGGGGACAGTGATCTGTTCCAGCTCCAGGTTGTTGGCCACCCTGGTCCTCCTCAGCACCCGTCCCACACTATCTCTGGAGGACACAGCAAGCTGACGGAGGCCAATGGCGAGGCTGTTTAGCTTAGCAGTTGACAGACTCAGGCGGTCGATCAGAGCCTGGGAGAAACGACCTATGAGGAGAGATACATGAAAGATATGAGTAAATACTGACAATGCATTACTCCATAGATCTATGCAGAGTAAGTCTTTCTGCTTTCAGCAAACAGAGAAACTGTAAAGCAGGAGTAAGAACTTTGCTCATCCACATGAAGAGCAGTCTCCTTACACACAATGCCATGCAGCCCTACAACACAAGGCACACAATGACTCCTGCAAAACTTACAAGTACTATCCATTCATAAGCATCTTACTACCAACATGGCTGATGGACACCAGAGCTAGTGGCAAATGTCAACCAATGCTGACAACCAGATGATCAAAGCCTCCTCCTTATGTCAGTTTCCCCTGCTACAGATGAGTGGCAGGGCTTGACGTTTAAGTCAGGCAGCTGTGGATTAAGGTGATGAGTGTCTCTACTCTGTGACTGTACCTGATGCTGTTGCTAACTCCATGTCTCTCTTGTTGGCACTGAGAATCTCTTCTTTCTTCTCTGTGAGCAGCTCAGAAAGGCAGCAGATGATCTCTCCTCTCTGGAAAAAAAAATAAACACACCTAAATGTTATTAACACATACCAGACTTACAGAGTAATTAAAGCCGCTACCAGAAGAACGTAAAACTAAATGAAATTGGCAACCCCCTGCATCTCGTTGTGAAAATGATTTTTTACTTTTTTCCTGTTTTTAATCTTGGCATTTAATTAATTTAGGAATGACATGAGGTCAATATACTGTAATTATGGGATTTGACCTAAAGATCGCCTTAATGAAAACATGTTTGATTAAACTGCAAGTGCTATTTCACTGTGTCAGTGAGAGAAGATATAAAACGATATTGATTTGACATTGGAGATGATTCTGCTGCAATCAAGCCTAAAACAATTTGGACCTCTTGATAAAATAGTCTTCATATACTATACAGTATTTCAAAACGTCTCTTCAGTTAGCCCCACCACATCGAGGGAGCAAGAAACTCACCTGTTCAGGGAGCAGGGAGGCCAAAGCCCTGCCTGCATGCCGGGCCATCTCTGTCTGCTGCTCCACAGTTGGACCTAGTGGTGTCAAAAACACGTGCATCAAATATAAAAAAAACACACACACACAAGTGAGTAAAATATTCTTTCCAGATGGTTTTACTCATTACCTGCAGGTTTCACTTCTGAGAAGAAGGTGCCAACTTTCTTCCCTTCCACAATGTCTGTGATGACGTGGCCTGTGACTTTAGGATCTGTGCCATTGGCAATGACAACAGACGTCCCACCCTGTAGTGCCCAAAGTGCTGCTTTGACCTGATTCAGACAAAATCCTTGAGTATAACTTTTTCATCATTAAACCAACTCAGTCCTGTTTACACTGTGAGATCAAATACTTTTTGTCATGCTGACCTTGGCTTCCATGCCGCCAATGCCAACTCTGGACTTAGTGCCGTACGTGATTGACTGCTGGTCTCCAGGATAGAATATATCAATAAGCTTGGCATCATCTGTTCCCGGGGGACTGTCGAATAAGCCTGTTGGACAGAATTGTTTTCCTTTTTAAATCCTTTATAGAACTGAAGCAGTCACACTGATATTGATATCTTTTCATCAAGAGAAACCGGACCAGACAGTATGTACACTAGAAAGTTTACTATTTACATATGACTCAAAGACATAAGATAATGAATAAAAGCAAAGCAGAGATGGCTTAATATGGAAGGTGAAAGAGAATCAGAGGCCTTTGTGAACTAGTGTTGAAATTTATTTAACTTGTGTCAATTATATACTGTCTCTGTAAAATTTATTGTTTAAAATCACTAAACATTTGTTGGTTACTCCCTCAAAAACAGATTTGAAGTTTTTTTCTGTCTGACATATTTATATATTTTGAAAGGGGTTTTGGTTCAGTGTTTTGGTACTCAATATAATAATTTACCAATAACATAATTTGTTATAAATTATGTTGAATGTGTTAAGAAATCAGAGTGAAATGAATTATTTATTTAATCCTTAGATGTAGCCCCTTTGAAAACATTTAATAGCACATACAGTGAACTAAAATTAATGCTTACATGCAAATTAACATACAACAAATGAATGGTTTTATCTGTACCTTGAACATCAGACAGGGCAATAAGGAGGTCCGCTTTCATTTCAACAGCAAGTCGTGCAGCCAAGCTGTCATTATCCTTGATACTTATTACCTGAAATACAAACAGAAAATTCATTAAGCCAAATGGAAAGTCATTGTAGCTCACAGTATACTGTAGAATAACATCTTGTCAGTTGCTACCATGCAACAAAAGCCTGATAGTCCCATTCAGGTGTAAAACAAACAACATATGTTCACCTCTTTCCAAAAGGAGATAACACAGGTAGCTCTTTGCACGATATAATGGCAGAAAATAAGAAAACCACCTTTTGAATTAGCAGAGAACATTTAAAGCAACCACAAAAATTAAACCATATGTCCAAGAAGTAAATGTCAGTGAGGGTGGAAATGTAAGTGAAAAGAAACATATGTCTTTTGTGTATGCATGCTTTAAGCAAGCCACCACAACTCTGGACAACATTTAGCATTCCCAGTGTGCCCATCACACAGTACCCACATTTACCCCCTGTAGGTCACTGTTGGGAACAGGGGGTGGAACAACAGCATCATTGGTGTTGATGATAGGAACTATGTTCATCCGTAGCAGTTCATGAAGTGTGCTGTTCAGATTGCGGCGCTTCTGCTCATCATGAAAATCCAGATTGGTGACCAGAATCTAAAGAAGGAGACCGAAATGCAAGAAAATGTAAAGATGCTTCAGTCATTCTCTTTCAGCATTGTATTCTGTGATAAAAGTCTAGTATATACTTGTGCAGTGCAGATGCTGTACTGGGTGAACATAGCTTCATACAACGCCATCAGACCGCTCTGTCCAGCAGCTGCACAGGCTCTTGCCTCCAAAACTGGAATTGACTGAAAAACCGAGAAATTTCACTAAGGTTAAAATACAAGGTTATGAACAAAATCTAACAAATGTTTATGTACTATTTGGGGTTAAATGCTATTATTCACCATGTCTTTGAGTTGGTTTTGTCCAGAATGCAAGGCTTGTCTGACACTCTGAGACAGCAGGATCTCATGTCTCAGTCTCTGCTTCCCAAATGCCACAGCACCACTGGTGACAATCATCATCTCCCTGCCTTGATTCTGTAGCATGGCCACCTGATAGGACAGACAAGGACAACACCATTCAAGTTCCTCTTTAATGGCCAAGATCACTCATCAGGGATGTCCACTTTATAATGTGTGGTGTTCTCACATATGTTCGCACGTAAAAAAAACAACTATCATCAACAAAAGTTCATCTCTTGTCTGCATCAACAATATTAATGTGGTTTTACCTGCTCTACTATTGAGGCCAGTCGCCCCAGTGCCAGGCCGCACTCATCTCCACGTGTCACCACAGCACTCCCCAGCTTCACTACAATGCGTTTGGCCTGCTTTAACTCACTGCGGTGGGCAAAAGACTTCCCATGGGGACGTGGGAGTGAGACTGAAGAGAAAAACACAGTAACATTTTATTACTCATCAGCATGCAACATTGTATCATACATAGCAAAGAGAAAGAGATGGTGAGAACAATGTCCACTTCAGGTAAGAAGTTGGCTGATTACTCACATTTAGCTTGGGAAAAAGCTCTGATGGAAACTCGACTGCAATTTGACTGCCAGTTTCTGGATGGCAGGCGAGAGCACAAGGCCAGCCTGGCAAACATGGCACTGATGCTTGAGGACAGCTGTGATGAACACACAAACCAGTGCCAGGTTACTGTAAGGGTGCAATAACCTCATCTGTAATATGCAGCCTTAAGGATTGATAGACAGTGTGTAAGGGTGGCTATCTACATCAAGGCTTAAAGTATTAAGAAGATAAAATACCATAACAAAACCAATAAAGATTATTATTAATTTGAGCATTATTTAGTAACTGGAAATCTATGCATCATGATGTTCAGCACTGTGTTGGTACTTGAACTTGGCATACTGACCTAGTGAAGATGACAATATTTGTACTAGATAGTTTATAAACATTTGCTAAAAACATTAGCTAAATAGCCAGGGGCTAGGCGCTATTCACACCAAAAACCTCCAACATATGTGAAGTGACTGAAGTTAGAAAGTTAGTTAATATGGCTAACAGAATGGAGCTATATGTTTAGTGTTACTGCTGTTGTTCAGTGATACTTGGGGCTAGCTAACGTTAGCTAGCATTAGCAATGACCGGCTATCTCACTGCCTAGCGGTTATCTCTGGCAAAATGGACGGAAGAATATTTATACAAAAGGACTACTTACCAGACAATACGGAAATATACAAACACCAACCACAACTACACTTGTGAGTGCACTGCAGAGGACACGTAGTCAGCAGGACTGGCGTTACTTTGCTGCCACATCCACAGCCCACGTTGGTTGAGTACAGCGTTAATTGAGCTATTCACGAAGGACGTCTACGTAGGATATGTTCACGTAGGAAGAGACTGACTAAAGCAGATCAACTGTTACATACGTAGAAATAGTTCTTTTGATGGGCGGACACTTTGCGTAGCTATGGGAAGTACAAGCACAGGAACAAGAGAGTAAATGCATCTTTATTGTGATGTGTGGGATGAATGTTTTATAGTGATAATATGGATTCATTTTCACCTTAAACACAACGACTCAAAAACATCACCTGTAAAAATTTAATTATCCGAATTCATCAAATAAAACACAATGTCACATATTTGTTTATGAAAAATAACAGTGTGTTCATGACAAATTGTAAAGCTGACCATATAACAATATAACAGCTCTAATTAACGCTGGATATTAGTGTAGGCACATTCCATAAATTTTAATTCGTTTTCTGACTTAATAACTCGTCAAGCTGACATGCAAGTATTTGCTGATGAAGATGCTTGAGATGCTGTTGAAAGCTTCTGAAAAAGCGACTTTCGTTTATTATTTCAAACCACAGTTCAAGGATCAAAGTTCATACTAAAATGGATTCCTTTGTTTCTTTTTTTTAATGAAACTACATCTAGAACAAAAAACTGGTCATTTATTTCACCTAATCCAGTTTGTTGGAAATGTGCCATCCGATTGTGTGGTCTCCTGAAAGTCAATGGTGTGAAACAGCTACTGGAAGCTATCAACTCTTCTTTAGTAATCTGACACTGAGGCCTTTGAAACATTCATGAGCAGGATGGCTGGGAGCACAGAGCACACTGTGCTGCCATACCAGGTGCAAGCAGAGCTATGGGGACCATTGAGGAAAGTTGGAAGTGTCCTGTTTGCCAGGATTTCTTCACAGATCCAGTGACGCTCTCATGTGGACATGACTTCTGTCTCACCTGTATCCAGGCTGTCTGGGAAACAGATGGGCCTAATGAAGGTCCTTTCTTTTGTCCAGAGTGTCAGATATTCCTCCCCTCTGACCTCACTCTGGAGATAAACACCAGGCTTCAGACCAAAGTAAAGGACTTCACCACTAACAGGCCATCAACAGCACAGCTACAGACAACAGCTCCAAGCAGGGCAACCAAATCATCTTCAACCATCCATTGTGACCACTGCATAGAGACGCCAGCAGTGGCCATAAAGACCTGTCTGACCTGTGATGCCTCGCTGTGCCAGGCTCATGCCCTGCTGCACGAGCAGAGGTCTGCTCTGAGGGAGCACACAGTTGTGGAGGTGACAGGAGATCCGCTGTCTCTGAAGTGCAGGGAGCATCGTGATGAGCTCAAGCTCTTCTGTATGGAGGAAAGGGTCCCTGTGTGTTGTTTGTGTGTCCTGGTTGGCATCCACAAGAACCACAAAGCATCTCAACTCCATGATGCCTGCGTACACTTCAAGGTGAATATTAGTACTGTTTTGTCATTGGCTAGTGTGTTTTATTTCCTTAAGTGTGATGACTATTTCTTTATTTTTCTGTCAGGGTATTCATTTTCTATAGGCCTGTTGTATTTCTGTCTTTAGGGCATGTTAGAGACCACTATGGACCAACTGCTGAAGAGGAGAAGCGAAGCAGAACTTGCCATCAAGGACTTGGAGTCACTGTATACACAAACAGTGGTACAATCAATATGAAAGCCGCCTTTTTTAATCACTTTTTTTTTAAAATCATTAACATAATCCCCTCTTGTATGTATTCAAACAATGTTTATTTTTTTATTTCCTAGAAGTCTGCTGCAGATTTCAGAGAGAGAATCTCAGACAAGTACAGCAGAATCCGCGTCGTGCTGGATGGTGATGAGCGCCTGATGATGCAGATTATAGATGAAGAGGAGACATACATGACAGAGTGGTTAGAAGCCCAGAGGGGCATCATGGAGGCCCAGATCAAACAGATAGATAGCCTCAGAGCCTCCAGCAAATCACTCCTACAGGACACAAATGATCTGAGATTCCTGCAGGTAGGTACCTCTTGTTATGACAGTGTGTCATTGTGATAATGTGACATGTGAATGTGTAGCACAAATGCAGATTATATATTTTCCGTGACTGCAGCTGTACATGACCTTTTTATTTTCAACAGCAAATCACAGCACAGAATCTTTGGTGAGTATATAATTTCTCTTTTTCCATCCTAGCTGCTTTCTTTTTGGCCCTCTAATGGTATTCAGTTTTTATTGCAGTGAACCTTTGGATTTAGCACCTATCCGGGAAGTAGACAGGGTTCTGTGTGATCCTGAGAAACTGAGAACCGTAGAGAAGCTGGTGGACGACCTTTCGGTGGCTCTGTCCCAACACTTTCCACGAATGTGGTCATGTTAGTAAAGTACCAAATATTTACCAATATAAAATCAACCCCCGCTACGTCCGTAGTAGTGTACCAATTGTAGATTTATATTTGCAGATCTAAGTTCTCCTGCTCTGGACTCCAAGACAGCCCATCCGAAACTGGAAATATCCCAAGACAGGAAGCAAGTATACTGGAGAAGACAACCTGTCAGTGAGGATCTGAGCCCTCAACCATATGACTCCCAGTGCAGTGTCCTGGCTCAGGAGAGTTTTACTACTGGCCAGCACTACTGGGAGGTCATTGTTCAGGAGAAACCCTACTGGCTGATAGGTATGACTACTGGGCCAGCTGATAAAAAAGATGGATCAAGTCAGAGTTCCTCCAGCCTGGGTATGACCAACACATCCTGGTGCATCTACCATGGAGATGGGCAGTACCTGGCATGTCATGATACCCAGGAGAAGCGACTGTCAGTGGGAAAGAGAGTCAGAAAGCTGGGTATACTGACCAATCTCCAGAAGGGGGAGCTGTCATTCTACGATGCTGATGCTATCACCTTGCTTCACTCTTTCTGTGTGCAGTGCACAGAGCCTCTCTACCCCATGCTAAACCCATGCATTGATGTGAAGGGACTGAACAGGCAGCCTCTTACCTTGTTTTGCATTAAGGATCCCTAGGAGTGGCATGTAAACAGAGATGGAGATATAGAGTGATCTTGGAGGACAACCTTAAATGATACACTGATCAAACTCTATATTTTATTTCCATTTTTGGTTAGATTAAATCAAACGATGGAAATATCATACATGCTTAAAATCATGTGTTTGTGTAAAAAATTAAGCTGTTAAGTAATAAAATTATAGCTGAGGAGTTTTGGTGTTTTAGTCTTCTCTATAGTCATATAGTCATCCCTATAATACCTTTCCATTGTTTGCAGTTGTCATGTAACAGTAAATATTTTATCAAGTGTTATCAGGTGCAAACAGCACTTTTGTTCTGCAGTAAAGTCTAGCTTCTCGTTCAGCAGCTTAGCAGTTCTCATGTTCGACCTGATGTAGCCTAGTTCAGGAAGAAAATTACCCCTGGGTAAACTACTGGCTTGTTCTTTGTACAACTGTCCCCTCAAGAACATGTAAGCCTTCATTCTCACATGTCAGTGGCCTTAGAGAGCTGCTGCCCTGCAGCAAACAGTAGTCAGTGAGGCCAAATAACATGAACACTGTATGTGTATAGAGGACATAAGACTTAAATCTCTTTTTATGATTATTAATCTTACAGTATGGTTTTCTCTTTGTACATGAATGTTTTAAAACTTTTTGAAAATAGTAGAATGAAAACTCTTATCCACCTATTTGCTTCTTTTCTCTAAGTTCTTTGACTCACTGTTTATTTTGGGGCTCATCCACAGAACTTTGCATTACATAATAAGCTTTTAAACAGTGGTGATGAAATGTAACCTTGTTTTGATCTTGTTCATGAAAACTAGAATGACACAGGAACCCAATATCATACATTTTATCTGTATTTCTGATTTTTAGGATATTCCAGCACTATGAGTCTCATCTTGATCAGGGGTGTACCTAATAGTTCTGCCACCCTTGGGCCTGGTGAAGACATACAGTAAAGACATGAAGGCACAGAACAGCAAGAATATCCCGTCAGAACACTGATGCATCTGACCCCATTTCAACAAGGAATGATGAATTGAGAGACCACTGATTAATATACTGTCTGATAAATAAGAAAATATGACACCTTTCTTCTTAAAGGGCCCGCAGCAATAATGTTTTAAAATTTATTGTGTCTTTTCCTTTACCACATGCACATCACTTATAATATGAGGTTTGGAAAAAACCTTTGGCTGGAATAAAAGTTTCAGGGCGAAGAGAAGGAAATAGGACATTTAGATGAACAGATTTCAGGCTTTTCTGTTCTGTTCCATATGTAACAGATAAAAACCCATTCAAATGAAATGACAATGCAAATGTAGTCAATGATGAAACAGTCTGATATGTCAGATCAGATTTTTTTTTTAAAGGTTGATTTAGGGAGCATTACAATCTACAGTGACATAGACCTGAGGAGCAAAATACCAGGTTCAACTGCACAAAATCCAAAAGCTAAATCATCATGAGTGGGACTTGTTCCATTCATATCCAATCCCTTGGCTACACTGTCTGGCATGCTGCTTATGGAGATGCTGCTTGCATCTTTGATTTTATCCAGTTCAGGAAATTAGTGACTCGAGTGTAGACGCCAGGCTTGTTCTTCCTCCCACATTGGTCCCCCCAACTGACCAGGCCATAAATAACGTTGGTGTGGTTCTGCTTACAAGTCAATGGTCCTCCAGAGTCGCCCTGAAACAAGAGAACAGGTGACCAGATATAAAACCCACTACTGCCTGCAACTATGTTAAGAACCTACCCCAGGTAAGTTGGTCACATGTTAGTATGCACTTCAGTAGCAAGATTCGTCTACTAACCTGGCAGGAATCCACCCCTCCCTGCAGGTAGCCAGCACAGAACATGCTATTATCCAGGACCCTGCCATAAACCTTTGGTTCGGAGCATTTCTCCTGGTCGATCAGCAGTACATTGGCCTCCAGCAGGTGGCTGGAACCATAGTCAGCTGCAGAAAAAATAGATATAAAAAGATATAACAACAAATGCAGTTGTATCTGATGTCTTTGGTCACATGCAAATAAAATTCAAGGTTTAAAGGGGCCTTTAAAAAAAAACATTTCAACCCTTAGGTGCCTCTAAAACAAACCAGAGGATCTGCTTATATTTTGCAGCCTGGATATGCAAAAATGGTCTTACATTCTTCAGTGGCACCCCATCCAGAAATGGTACACTCCATCCCACCAGGCAGTGGGGCATCAGGCAGACAGGCTGTCTTCACAAACTGAGTTTCATTGGCACAAACTCCACCGGTACCTTCCAGCTTCAGCAAGGCTTCAAAAGTTCAAAAGTACTTAATTTCTTTACAGCACAATCTCATCATGTCTACTTTTTACTATTTTTACTGCATTTACTGTTTACTGCATAGACTACCAATACTGTAGATTTCATCAATTATATCATTACAGATGGACTATTTGACACTATCACATCCCAATCTTATTTAACTAAAAGAAAGATCGAGATACAGACGTAAAGTGCTCTCAGCATGCTCTATCTAAATTGTGGATACTATATTTGATATCAAATAAGAGAGACATGTATCACCTATGTCATTGTGTACAGCTGAATGAGTCTCCCTGTAGTTCTCATGTACAATAGCCTCTTCAACTTTTATGGTTTGCTCTGTGTGTTCTGTCACATCCTGTGACAGACTTCCCAAAACCACCTCCATGTCCTTTCTTTGTTCACTGTTCAAACACAAACAACACATGATTCGACACATGACGATTATGTCCACAAGTGTGAACCTTTCCAGAATCGATCGATGTTTTATGTTTTCTCAGATTTGTAGTCATTACGATTGTGCTTACATGCAGTGCCCAGCTGTCAGTACCCAACAGCTAGCAATGAGAACTCCTCCACAGATATGTCTGAATGGCTGGTTGGTGTTCTTTGATCTCACTTGCAGGGACACCTGCCAGGGTATTGCCCCAGGAGCGACCTTCAGACCCCCAAAAATTCGGGTCATGGCTTTTTTTGGCTGAGGCTTCCCGCAGGTGGAGAACGGTGGCGGTGCAACAGTGATCAAGGGGGTGGGAAGAGCATCAGTGGGTGCAGGAGAAGTTTGTGGAGCTTGGCTGGGCTTTACAGTGGGGATGGTAGGTGCTGGCTTGGAGTCTGCTGTAGGTTCAGGTTTTGTTGGTTGTGGCTCGGGGATAATGGGATCAGGGACTGTGGGGACAATTTCAGTCGGCGCGACATCTGGAAACACACACGCAAGAAGATAACACAACTGTTTTTGTTGCCCATGCTCATAAGCAGAAAGTTGTCTGAAGCTTTAAAGCTGACCTGATGGCACAGGACACTCTATCACATCACAGTGCTCCCACAGCAACCTGCGGCCTCTTCTGTAGAAACACCAAGGCATCGTGTCTCCATCTGGGTTTCTGTGTCATAGAAAATGTGTGAGTGACCATCCTCTTGTAGCTGTCGTTTGGAGTTTGAATACATTTATTTCTTTTCTCCTGACCTGCAGAAGTTGTGATGGCCAAGTCCATCTTTGTCCTCAAAGGAGTTGAAGGGATCAGCTCCATTCTCCAGGATGAAATGTGAGTTCCAGTAAAGGCATTCGTCACCGTCATCTGTCTCGCTCACATTGCCACGATACGACTCTCCATCATCCACATAGCAGTCATTTGGACCTAAGAAATATACCACACTCAGCAATGTAACTCAGCATATGAGTTATAATGATGTTAGCCTGGAAAATGGTAAATAATGATAGGATGTAATATTTACCAACATGGCAGAAACGTCCTCTGTACCCTGGAGGGCACTGGCAGTCAAAGTCATTACCATCAATGACACATTGTCCACCATTCCTACATGGGTTAGTCTCACACAGTGAATCTTTGGAGGAAAACAATGCACAGTGTAAGCTATCTTCCAACTGTGGAAAAAAGTGGAACAGAGATATTCTGCCTTGTTTGGATGAAGAAATACTCCTTACAACGCTTGCAGTCCGGAGGCTGGAAGGGCTCCTTGCATTTGCACTCGTAAAACGGTGGATTTGAAGTCAGCACACACTCACCACGCCCACACTTACCTCTCCTACAAGCCATTGGACCTGAGACAATAACACAATAAAGAAATGAGTTTTAGTATTAATTCCGTTTTTCTCATTTTATATTGTACATATATGACCAGTCTGCAGTCCAACAACATGGTTGAACAAAAGGGATTTTTTTCAAACCTTTCTGGCATCTCCTTCCCTTGAAAGGTCTGGGACAGTCACATTTGAATCTTCTCTTGTTTTTCTCCTTACACACTCCGTTGTTAAGGCAAGGGTTTGGGTTGCATTGGCCTGAGAGACGGGGAACATTAAGGAACAATCATAAGCTTTAAATGAGAGCTTTCTAATACAATGTAGCCTGTTCATGCAACATTACACAAATTGGTATTACAGTAATATGTTTGAAAGAATACCTGATAGTTCACTCTCTTACCTTCTGGCTCTTGAATTTCAAAAAGCCAGTCAGAATTACTTTGGTCATCATCATCGTCATCATCACCAGAAACTCCATCTATGACCTCAAAGAAGAAGTCTAGAACAGTGTTTTTCCATTAGATATGAAGCATTGTTGGCTTCCCCTCTCTCCCTATAAAACTTGCAGATAGTTCAGTAGGGTGAGATTCACTGTTGTTAACAGTAAAGCAGTGTGAGGACTTACAGGACACTAAATGTCAAATATTGTTCTACATATAATGTGTTATGCACATTTATTTTAAAAAGGTATTTACCTTCAATTATATCCTTAAATCTTCCTCTCTTTTTCCCATGTTGGCCATGCTCATGATCTTGGTCATGATGATGATGATGTTTTTTGTCCTTTTTACGTTTCAGCTGAAAAAAAAAAACATTCCCATGGCAGCACCACATAAGAAATCACAATGATAAAAAAGTGCACTTGCTTAGTAGAATTTGAATTCATTAATTAATCTCTCAAAACATAAATGTGGACAACAAGCTCTACTGCAGTTTATTCACAGCTAAATCCATTATCAAACAATGCAACATTATAAATAAGTGCCAATATATTTGCTTATTGCTACACAATTGCTGTATAATACAAACAGTAAGTACATACTTCAGCAGGTATGAGCAGCACCGCTAAGAAGAGGCAAAAGAAGAGGAGCTTTAGGTTCATGATGTCAGCGGATCAGGGGACATCCAGGAGAGTAAAATGAGAGTGTGCTGTCTGGCAGATCACTCACACTTTTCTAAACATTTGTGGAAGTACACTAACCTTTGATTCGCGGGGGTTCTCTGGCATCCACACTTGTTGCTGAGTCAGTTATATTGATTTTAGCTGTGCTCTTGGATAGTTTTTTTTTTTTACAATAATAATAATAATAGGCAGAATACTGTTCATGAATTTTTGACAAATGAATGGCACAAAATCAATATCACTGTCTCTGCCACCTTTGAAGCATTTTCCGTATTGAAATTCATTCAAATGAATTTTGACAAAAAGGCTAAGCATACACTCAGATTCAACACAAAGGCTCAGAGAGCATATTTGCAGTGAGCAAGTTGTTTGTTTGAATGTTTGAACCTTGGATCCTCGTAAACTAGGTGCATTTCAGGATGAGTTATTGTGTGCTTTTTTAGATCTCTATATATATTTACAAAAGTGGAATACTTTTGCGATGATTATATTTTAAAATAAATATACTATAAGATCTCTTGTATATGAGTGTTCATAACATTTATCACATCCAAATAAAACAGAAACTTTTTTAAACAATATTTTGTTACAGAAGGAGAATATATAAAACTCAAAATGCATAAAACACTTCTTGACCCTTTTTCTTAGTTTATCTGCCATTGGGATAAAAGTCTCCTTCAACATGATTCTTATGGAGCTCTCTTGCAACTGGAGATTTTCTTCTTCTCTGTATCATGAAATACATTCAGTTATTTCAAAAAGGAGCAAATAGCAGGTGTACCACTTTCTAATATGGCAGCCTTTCTAAAGGGATTTTAGGTTGTACCTATTGCCTTTATTGAGCATTAATAAAACATTTGTAATGCTTTATAAATTATGTTTATCCTCCTCCTGCATGAAACTTGCGTTATCTCTCTGGAAACTCCTGGACTGTTTGGCCACTTACCTTGGTGACTGATTGCCATGACATTTTGTCCAGACATTCATGGTCACCTAGAAGATGAATCCTACTGACTTTAGTGATTGCCTGACTTTTTCTCTAGCATCACTATCAGGTCAAAGTTTTCCCTTATCTTGTGAAGTAGCTTAACATCTAACATCCTTCCCATCAGCCTCAGCAGTATTTTGTGATTATTGCTAATTAGCAGATGTTGACATGCTAGCATGCTAAACTATTACGGGGAAGATGGTAAGTGCATAGCTACTAAACAATAGCATGTTAGCCTGCTTACGTTAGCATTTAGCTCAAAGAACCATGATAGAGATTTTAGCGTGGCTATCAACTCTTAGTCCTGTTTAATTACTAACAAAGCCAGTAGTTACAATTTACAGTATGGGTCTTTACAATTGGTGCCTTATTAGAAAGTAGTGTTTAAAAGCTTTTCTGTGGTGCTACTAGTCAGAGATCACTGGTTGGAGATGGAGCATTACAGATTACAATAGGCTTTGCATTGGCGCCATTGTGGTCATGGCCAGGACACAGGGCCAGGTGGAGGCAGTCTGAGAAGGTTCCTGCACAGAACGAGAACAGCGGTGTCATTTTGTCTGCCTCGAGAAACGTCACCAATCCTGCAGGGAAACTACACAATATACCAATCCGAGAGAAGCGTTTTGTGAAAGGCAACTGATGGGGCACCCCTCCGTGCCAGGCTGTATACTCCCCATCAAAAAACTCAACGCACCAAGACTCCTCCCCCCGGCCCAGCCAGCAATCCTCAGTGGTTCCCTTGCGAGGAATTTTGGGGTAGGTAATACCTAGCTCCCAGTAGGTCTTCCCAGTCACATCAATCTCCCAGTAATGGCGACCAAAGGTGAAGCCTTGCAAGCTGATGACATTGAGGGTGGTGTCAAAGCGTCCAGGGAGATCCTGAAGTTGCTGCCAGGTGTCCGTGTAGGTGGCACTGTCACCTTGGTGGGAGATGATCAGCTTTGGGTGGGCCGTCTGTGGATCCAGACACACCTCACTGGAATCTGGAGACCAATATTCAACATTTTTATATAAAAAAAGGCAACATATTAAAGAGGTCCAATAGTGGTTATAAACACTATAGAAATAAAGTGTGAACTGACAACTCTTGATGAGTTTCTTGATTATAGGTGTTTGCGAGCAGATAAGCAGAAGCATGTTGTTGGTGAGGCTGAGGATCTGTTCAGCTTTAGCCTCGTCCAGGGTCACGCTGCTCGGATCAGTCCTGTTGAGCAGATCCATCACTCTGGAGGAGGCAGACCATAGTAAGAAACATCAGTTTTTGCTCGACTGCTTCTTATTGAAGAGTTTTCTTTAATTAATTATGACCTGATTCCATACCTGTCCACTGTCTCCATGTCTTGCTGTTCAGGGTATGAAAAGAAAGACTGAGGAAAAGCAGAAAAATTAAGATTAAATGCATTTTGAAAACAAAATGTTTCATATCATAACACTTATAGTTCCCATACACAAATGAGAGGGTAAATATGAAATTTCAAATCATATTTGATCCAGTGGATATTTCAAGTTTAATCACCATTGAATCAGGCTCTGTATCGGTCTGGTCTAGTGCCACAGTGAGTCTGGCCAGGTCCTGCTCTATCTCCTGGATTAGAGAACAGTTCCTCTCCATCAGTCCATCCAGAGCAGAGACCGCAGCCCGCTCCTCCATCTCCAGATGGGACAGGGTAATCCTCAGGTCCTCATCCAGAACGGCCTGGATCTCCCGATATTTCCTTATGATATTCTCCCTTATCACTGTGGACTTTTTCTGATCAGGCATAAGTATTTATGAGTTTATTATGTTGCCTAATCACAGGTCTAATTATACTGTCAGTATTTTTGTTGCAAGATAACAAATTCTTAAATGTAAGGTCTCAACAAAGACAGAAACGAATTCATGTTGTGGCAAAATTTCAGCACTGACTGGTCTGAACTTACAGTGATTTCTGATTGCCGTGCTGCCAGTTTCTTCAGTCTGTATTTCACTGCTTCTCTTTGCTTCTTTAGACTCTCCTGTTGCTTTTCTAATGTCTCCTGTAGAAAGGGTTGCACACATTCAGCACAGCTCCATTCAACATCATCAAAGTGGTCTTGGCCTTATTATTTGGGGTGAGGTGCAGCTGCAGAAGCAGTTTATCATGGGACTTGTTGCTACAACTCAATCAAGCTAAAAACTGTTTCCAATCAAACTCCTCATAGCAATTACATGATCGACGTTGTGCAGTGTTGTGACTCCAGATGCAAGTATCTGTCTTCCATATTCTAAGTATTTGTCAGAACTGCCTTCTCCAGGAGGAAGAGCAGATAACACTTTATCTTACAGCCCATGATTTAGAATTAGATTTAGAAGAATCAGGTGTTGATCAAATATTTACTGTTTCCTACTGGTACAAGATCATAGGGGAGCAATGGACTAACAACTACATATTTTATCAAATCAATTATACACTAAGTAATCAAAGGGTACAGTACTGTATTGTGAAACAAAACTGAAGTTTGGAAAAAAAAATAGTGTCAGCAACCATTTTCTTATTGTGTAATTAAAATGTAAAAAGAAGAGAACAACCACACATTCATATATTATATATTACAGCCTGCATACTTTGTTTTTATTGTGTAATCAAAAAAATTAAAATAATGATCATTAAACAATTAAGATTAACCCTGTTTGAGTATCTGTGTTCTTCTATCACATTACTTTGTTATAGTTTTTTTTTTCCCTCAGACGACAACAGGACGCTTCTACAGCTGTGTATGCAAGAAAGGAACATTTGTTTTCTGCTCCATTGAACCTGTTATGCTGTACCTGTGAATGAATATGCTGCTGGAGCAAATTTCCAAAAGTATAGACCCATTTCTTGACTTGGCCTAATTAACAATGAATATTATGAAGTAGAAGACATAAATATGACACAAGTAAATCACTGGAGAGTGAATGGTAGCTGTGATACTACAACATGAATTTTATATTACACAGTAAGAATAAGGAATGTGGGCTGTAAAACAATGTGGCTGTTCTCCTTGTTTTACTGTTGTTAACTGTTTTTCTTTTTTCAAAGTTCCGTTTTGTTTCCCAGCACTGTACCCACAATACTTGAGTATAATTTATTTCTCCTTTCCTTTAAAATGCTAAATTGTTACTCCCTTGTAGACTTGTTTTTGTCCACTGTACCTACATTAAAGTGCCAGTAGGAACAAGTAAGTGTCTAATTGGTACCTGATGCATACGAAATTACAATCAAACATTGAAAATTATGATGAATTATTGAGTCTATAGTCATTAACATTTGTCCCACAATAATTCCCCTTGTAGACCATACTGGTGTGATTGTGAATTTTTATTTGTTACTAGAAATTTCATCATGCCACCACTGCTGACCATTTTCCAAAGCACACAATAGTTTTCTGCGCTGTTAAAAGTCCCCTTCCACTCCACTTGCTTATTGTTACCTCACTTGGATGCTTCACTGTGCAGAGTGATGTATGTGCAGAGTTTGACAGCAGCTGTTTACACATTCATGTGGTGAAGGGGGAGAGTTTCTCTGTGCTCCCCGTCAATCTGAGTTTAACATGTGCATATATAGGATGATTTTGTAACATCGCAACTTTAGAGGTTTGTCGTCCAATATAATACAAATAATACAAAGTTACACAAGATCTCAAGATTGATGTGTTGAGAACCTCCAGCACACATGCACTGACAATGGATTTCTCAGTGAAGTAGGAGACATCTTGTGTGTAGTAGTTTGACCATTTTTAACTGGTTTATTTAACTTTTTGTGGAAGAACAATAACACACAAACTTTTATTTATTAAGTATTTATGAGTATTTTTATGTCTTATAACGTGTCTGGAGGAGGTCTTCCTGCCATCCAGGGATCCATTACTCGTCATTTCAGTAAATATGGAAATTAAAATTGGAGAGGTAAGTAGGGCTAATCCATGCCTTTTTTGTCAAAGTGAAATTATCGCCCTGGGGTAATTAAGTCAAAGTCTAGCAGTGTCTTGTACGGTCTAACTGACAGTGCTGTAATGTGTAAAGTGAGAAGCGCTGACGTCTGATATTTACAGAAAGGG